AGCAGATACTAATCAATTCTAAAACTAGTATTGAGACGACTGTAGATGCTGTAGATATTTGAGCAGGTGTCGATACTAAAAACGTCACATTCACAGGACAAAAATGAACCTTTCCTGAATAGTTTTAGAATGAACTTGAGATGTATCAGAACAAGTATAGGAGCATGTAGAGTAATGCAGTGGTCCCCAACCTTTTTTGCACTACAGACTGGTTTTATTTTAGACCTAGTTTAGACCTGGTTTAGACCTGGTTTGACACCTGGTTTTAGTCCTGGTTTTGTCATGGTTTTAGACCTGGTTTAGACCTGGTTTAGTCCTGGTTAAATCCTGTTTTAGCCCTCATTTAGACCTGGTTTAGACCTGGTTTTAGTCCTGGGTTTAGTTTTGGTTTTGTCATGGTTTTAGACTTGACTTTAGAACGTGTTTAGTCCTGGTTTAGACCTGGTTTTAGTTCTGGTTTAGTCCTGGTTTTAGTTCTGGTTTTAGACCTGGTTTAGACCTGGTTTAGAACTGGTTTACTCCTGGTTAAATTTTGGTTAAGTCCTGGTATTAGTCCTGATTTAGTCCTGGTTTAGACATGGTTTAGTCCTGGTTTAGACATGGTTTAGTCCTGGTATTAGTCCTGGTTTAGACATGGTTTAGTCCTGGTTTAGACATGGTTTAGTCCTGGTTTTAGTCCTGGTTTTTGTCCTGGTTTTAGTCCTGGTTTTAGTCCTGGTTTTGTCCTGGTTTTGTCCTGGTTTAGTCCTGTTGTAGTTCTGGTTTTAGAACTGGTTTAGTCCTGATTTTAGACCTGGTTTAGTCCTGGTTTAGACCTGTTTTAGTCCTGGTTTTAGACCTGGTTTTAGACCTGGTTTAGTCCTGGTTTTAGACCTGGTTTAGTCCTGATTTTAGACCTGGTTTAGTCCTGGTTTAGACCTGTTTTAGTCCTGGTTTTAGACCTGGATTTAGACCTGGTTTAGTCCTGTTTTAGACCTGGTTTAGTCCTGATTTTAGACCTGGTTTAGTCCTGGTTTAGACCTGTTTTAGTCCTGGTTTTAGACCTGGTTTTAGACCTGGTTTAGTCCTGGTTTTAGACCTGGTTTAGTCCTGGTTTTAGACCTGGTTTAGTCCTGGTTTAGACCTGATTTAGTTCTGGTTTTAGTTCTGGAGGAGGTGCAGTTCGGGCGCGGGGAACGGGGGAGTTCATGCTTTCGCGATCCGGTACCAAACGACCCACGGCCTGGGGGTTGGGGACCTCTGTTCTAGTAGACGCCCATGGACCACAGTGGGACCTACCTGGACCACAGTGGGACCTACCTGGACCACAGTGGGACCTACCTGGACCACAGTGGGATATACAGATGTAAGACCACATAGAAATATAAAAGAAAGTACTATGATTTAATGTTGAAAATCACATTCTATTGACAAAGAAAGCATTTTTTAAATTATTATTATTATTTATAACCATGGTATCAGAATCAGTACTGAGTATTAAGTCTGTTCCTTAGTATCAAAATGGAAATGTTAGTATTGTGACAACACTAGTCACACTTGATTGCAGGAAATAGAAAGTTAAAAACCATACTTTATAACATTCATATACAGCAGGGGTCTCCAACCTGTAGGTGGGGAGCGACCAGTAGCTCTCCACCCCCTTCAAAGTAGCTCGCCAAATGATTTCTGAATTATACGTACTGTGCTTAATAACTAAAATCTGACAACATGACGGACGGAGCGAGAAAGCACGTAAAGGGTATTGATCCCGGTTATTTATCCACTCTAACGGCAGAGGACCCAAGACCATTTGACCAGAAATTGGTCATAAGCATCGATGGAGCCAAATCACCCTTTTCAATCCCGACAAAAGGTGGAACAAACCAAATTTCTGGTCAGAATCACCAACTACCTGGACAAATATTCACTTCGGCGATATCCACAATGACTTGGTGGAAACTCCTGGGCCATTCACAGCAGAAAGATGAAAACCTCCAAGAGTCTCGATGTGTTGTTGAACTTGTTGGAGTCCACGGTTTGTTAGGATCTTCTACGTTTGTTCTGCGGATGTTTGAAAGCCGTTTAATTCACTGTCAGCATTTCTTTTCACTCGGAATACGAAAAAGACATTTTCCTTCTTCCGTGCTTCTATTTGTGCATCCGATAATGCAGCAGGAATTTACCATTATCGGGGATAAATACGCGAGGTTACGCACTGTGTTTGACGCTACCGTGTTTCTTGCCTCTGACCAAAATATTTCCCAGCATGCAACGCGGGCTTTTAATAACAATGACGTCAGCTGAAACTCGCCTATAGGCATCTAACTGTGCCCTGTCCAAAGAGCGTGCTTTAGCTCTTCTTGTTTCTCAGTTTCTTGCGACAGCTAAAATGAGTAGATCTCTGGGATTTTCGTTTCATGAAGGTAACTCACAAGAGGTAAAAGGTTGGAGACCCCTGATATACAAATATCACACATATAATCAAAGGAACAACATTTCCATGGAGACAAACATGTGGAGGTTCTTCTCTCTGCCCAATAAGAGTCAGGTTTGTGGAGAGGCAAGTCTGTTGACAATAAGGACGCATGTTTAAACAAAATTAGTTACAGGATTAGTTACATGTTACGGGGCTTTAAGAGCTGATGCTTTGCCTGGAAAGTTGCGCAGAAACATGACTATAGGATAATATTAAGCTTATCAATCTACATTGGATCAGGCAGACGGCACCACGCCACTTACACGTCAAATCTGCGGAGAGGCAATCCCGCTCACAGTGAGAATGCATGTTGTCAAGGTACTTTTTCCACAATAAAATGACATACAATTGAATAAACATGAAATAAATATGTTTAATACTATAACGGTGGAATATTTCAGACAAAGCAATCACATCCCCATGACCCTCCACCAGAAAAGTTACACAGTGCACCTTTAAAAACATACCTATACATATATGTTGGGCCATTCCGTTTCCCTGGTACCATGTTGAATTGCTAATAAGACATTGGCGAGGTCCATTAACGTCAGATCTCCGAGCCAACAGCACTCTGCCCTCAATTTAAATGAAGTTTGACCAAAACCAAGTCAATGAAGTCCCTGTGGATTTAACAGAAAGAAAAGTCAATATGAAATCTATAGACTACATAAACACGCAGAGATAAAGGCGAGGGAGTGTGGAATTATGGGAAATGCGGCTTTATACGGGAAGTATTTGATCAGAGAGGAGAGTTTGACTTTTTAATGAGACACAGCGAGGGGGTAAAGGATGAAACCAAACCGCAAGACCAAATCAGTAAATATGGGATTTTAAGAGGGACCCTGCAAAATGTGAAACTGGTCTAAACTAGAATTAAGACCCTGGTTGGTCTTTGTCCGCCTGGTTTTCCTTTTTGGACTTAGAACTTCACGCTCTAATCTGCTAAGAATTTTAAGATTTAAGGTCCTATATTTCTTGTAAAGTCATGTTAAAATGTTGTTACCGCCTTAAAAACGACCTGGAGTTGTGTTTTACAAACCTTAAAATGATCCGTTTCAACTTGTGATGTCAGTAAATGGTCGAAATTGGCAATTCCAGATGTTTTTGTTTTTTTTTATTACTTTTTTTTTTTTTTTTTAAAGACAACAGAATATAACATTTACCAAATTACAATAATCAACATAAAAACAAAATGCAAAAATAAAAAGCAACACCCACAACAAATACAAAACAATAAAAAACAAACACACCGACACAAAATTGTTTAAATAAAACAAAAGTAATGTGGTCGTGCAGCATAAACACACCAGGCCAGGCCCACTTGCATTGATATTTTGACCAGTTTATAATTTAATTTCCTTTTCTATCTCTCTCTGTCTCTTGCTTTTTTCCCCCCATTTTAATAAACATTTTTAGTCACGTTACTTAACTAATATTATTTTCAACATCATCATTTCTTTTCATCATCTTTTATTATTTATTACAATTTCAATGCATAATTTTTAAGACATTTTCTTTTTTTTTTTCTTCAATTCCAGATCTTAAGTTGATTCTAGTGAAGGTGTGTGGAGTTTAAAAACACAGTGGAGCACTTCCTGTATTACCACATGACATCACAAGGTGGAATAGTATGGAGTGTTTTCCGTTTGAGAGAAGAACGTAACCTAAATTTGCAGGGTTTGTGTGTTAAACATGTGTGAATGAAACAAAACACAGCTCTTTATAAGTTTTCGATGAAGAAACAGCGTTATAAAATCAGAAAATAGCGTAATTTTGGCCCTTTAACTTAAAATTTTTAACATACAGTTTAAAGGTTGTATAGAGGATTTTTTTAAGGGAAAAGAAATACATTGACAGTCCTTTTTCAAATGTTGTGCATGCGTGACACCACCTTCCTCCTCCACAGCTCCCTCAGTAGAAACACCTCCTCCTGCCTCTTTACTCTAGAAATCACACTTGTTTACAGCCAGTGCGTGTTCAGAATTACTGTTGAAGTGACCTGTCTAGAAGTAATTTAGCAACCGAAGCGTCAGTTTTTAGACCCTTCGTCAGCTTCATTCGCGCCATCGCTGGACGGAATCTCCAAGAATCACCTCAGTTTGTCTTCGCTCCTTTTCTCCTTCTCTTCTTCTTTCAGCGACCTCAAAAATGGATTTCTTTTGCGGCGAACCGGTCGTGGATTCTCGTCCGCCATCGCAACAAACTTTGTGCAAACTGTGAGGAAGCGACAGTTTAAAAAAGACTCTAAAAACCGCTGTATAAACCACGTAATCTCCAGTCAGTTACACTAGAAACGTAGGGAGTTTGATTGACAGCCTAACAGCCAATAGAAAATGAGGCAGCCTCGTTTTCTATTGGCTGATGTTTATCTGGCCTCACTACGTCCACAGTTGATAGATTTTCATTCTTTTTTTTTTGGTCATCATAATTATAAGGCTGCTGCATCTCTGTAATGGTATTTTAAACTTTCACTGACAATTTGAAACAAAAAAAAATCCTCCATACAACCTTTAATAAAATGTCCGTTCTCTCCCTCTTCTCTCAGTGATGAACTTGGATCGCGTGGAGAACCACACCCACGTGCGGCGCCGTTTCCCTCGGTATCACACCATGATGTTCAGCGGCCAGACTCTGTGGGACCCGTACACTCACGTGGTGCTGCCCCCTGCTGCCCTGGTGCCGCAGCGCCACCACGCGCACGGCTCGAGGGAGAAGGAGCGCGCAGACAAAGAGAAAGAGAAAGAAGGTGAGATTTACACGTAGTTCTGCTTGCATTCATATTTACAGTGTCAGCACCAGTACTTGCAGTGGAAGTAAATGGTACATGGCCTTAATTTAGAAAACATTAGTAGGAGTAAGAGAAGCAGTAGTAACAGTGGTTAGGTCTAATTATTGTAATATTAGTGAGTCGGTGTAATCCTCTAATTTGTTCACTTTAATGTTAGTAATAATATTTTTACCGTATTTTCCGGGCTGTTAGGTGCTCTGGATTATAAGACGCACTGTCATTACATGGTCTATTTTCGAACTTTTTCCACAAATAAACCGCAAATAAAGGAAACGCAACAGTTGGATGTGTCAGTGGAACTTTGTTTGTGGCGTTCACGGTGACTCTGGGCTTTGTTCAGTTGTGGCGTGTAGGGAGGGTGTGTCTGGGACCAACGGATTGTCGGCGTGTTCGCAGTGACTCAGTTGTTCAGTTGTGTGTAGAAGTGGCACATTGCGCTCGCTTTTTCGGTTCGTTCCTCCGTTCCGTTCCTCGTCTGCGTGGAGTGATGAGTGACTGCGGGTGTTTTTCGCTGTGCGGTCGCTGTCTGCTCCGTGCGTGTTTGCAGCTTTGTAGTTTACTGAAGTCGTGCTGGGACACCTGAGTGGATTCGTGTATGGGGCGCTCTGGATTGTCGGGCGCGCAGTCGTTTTTTGATGGGATTAGAGGCGTCTAATAGCCCGGAAAATATGGTAGTTGATTCAGATTCAGCTTTTTATGATCCGATACCAATGTTGGCACTACTTAAAGCCGTACTTTAAGTTGCAGTAAGTATTATGATGAGTTTCACAACTTATTTATCATATAAATTAATTACAAAACCGGTTTAACTTCAGTATTACAGTGTTTTGGGCCAACGTTGGTCAGTAAAATGTCTCTTTACACCAATTTCTAGACCAAACTGGGATATCGAACTGAACTCATTATCCGATATCAGTATTGTATTGGTGCATCTCTGAATATTATTAAGTGTAATTTAGTTAAATATTGATTTTTGTAGTTGTAGAATTGTTGTTGTCATAACTGTAATCATTAGTAGAAGCAGCAGTAGCAGTGGTATTACTAGTAGTAGTGGTAGTACTGGTAGTAGTGCAAAATAATAAGTAATAGTAGTAGTAATACCAGTCAGGGAAGTAAACGGGGGGAATAAAGGGGTTTGTTGTCCCGGAGGGGCCCAGAATTTGAACCTCTGCTTATTAATTTATATCAGAGGGGGACCCACGTGAGGTTTCTTGCCCCAGGCCTCCAAATTTCTGTCCACGGGCCTGGTACCAGTTGTAGTAGTAACATTTAGTAGTATATCAAAAAAGCTGTAGTATCAGTAACATTTAAAGTAAAGTATAGTGTATGTATTTTTGTTTTATCTTACATTTTATAATTGATTTCTGTATGTTAAACCTATATGTACGCTATGCTCTCTGTTTCCTTTCTCAGTGACTCCTCCAAACCCAGGCCCCGCCCCGTCTAGTGCCTCGACCAATCAGACGCGAGAATACAGCAGTTCTGCCCGTCGCTCTGTGTCTCTGTCCGAGCCTCCGTTCACCATCGTGATTCTGCTCATCTACAAGAGTCTGGGAGCAGCTCTGCCCCCGAAGTACCACACAGACAGGAGGGCAATCAGGTGAGATGGGACTAACAACTCTCTAACAAAGTCCCTGGTTTATTAAAGGTGTATTATGTAACTTTTCTGGGGGCGTCTGCCACTTTTAGTCTCCACGGAGATGTTATTGCTTTCCCTGAAATGTTTTTTTTCAGTAATGACTCGATTACAAGTGTTGTGTTGCTCAAAAAGACTTAGAAAAGCTTGCGTTCTTACTCTGCACAGATCAGACCTGTAACTTGGCTTGGCGGTGTCATCGTCTTATCTCCAGATGTGTTTATTCCTGTAATGTATATGCAATAACACCTCCATGGCAACCAGGGTAATGCACAAGAAACATTCGTATAACAAAATAAGGCTACGTTTACACTGAAACGAATCACCGTATTACCATATCACCGTATCGGAAAAGATTTGCATCCAGACATGTCGTTTCTGTGTCCGCAAACCTATGTTTTACAGAAACAAAACTTAAAACCACATGACTAATTTGCTTAAACTGAGCGCTCAAAAAACAGCTCTCTATTGTGCGCTGATGCAGTTCAGCTTCTAAAGACTAAAGGACACGACTCAGTGGATTATACGTGTTCTTTCTGTGACAGAGGGGTGTTCTGCTGATGGTGAGTCTGTTCTGTGTTTCTGTCGCGTTGGAGATGATTCATGTTAAACTTTTCAGAGATTAAACCGTCATATATACGCACAAACCGTATATATGAATGGACATATATTCTAGCCTCTTAGCCTTCTGGCGGTGAATTACTTCACGCCACATAGACCTACATTAGCGTATCAGTGTTTTCAGGCGTCTACACGGTGCCGGATCAGATCTGTATCAGATGAATTTGTGTCAGATTGTTCCGTCTCTGGAGCCATTTTCCATCGGATTAGTGCGGACGAACACTGCATCCACAACGAGAACGACTCAAATACGTACTAGTGTGGATGTGGCCTAAGGATGTCATGTTTTGTTTGTCGACTATTGTGTAAATTAGACAAACTTTGGTCCTTGTCTAACCAGGAAGTACAGTTATTAACTCTATTATAACTTTATGAAAATGATCAAACTAAGGAAAAATTGTTCTGATATATATATTTTTTTGGCTAAATGTGTTATTTTAAAGGTTCACTATGTAACTTTTTGGTTGGGGGTTCATCACCTGCTTGTTTCTACGTATGGATATGTCATTGATCTGCCTGGAATGTTCCAAAGTGTGACGTTAAACAGCTCTACCTTATATTTATTCAATAACAACTGCTTTTATAGATCAAAAATGCCAAGAAAAACAGGCATTCTGACTGTCGAGCGAGGATGCCTCTCCACAGATCTGACCTGTAACTTGATCTGGTTTGGTTTTGATAGAAAGTTTTAATGCCATACTGTGAAACATTCCAGACAAAGCGATAACATCTCCACAGAGTAAAGCATTTGTTAGACCCTCCACCAGAAAAGCTACACAATGCATTTTTAAGTCCTAACTTCGTGATTGTCGTCCAGATTCTGACTTTACCCTTGTGTTCCTCAGACTGCCCCGTCACCCCGTCATGAACTCCCCCGTGGTCACAGTGTCCGTCTTCAATGACCCTTCGTTCGTGACGGGGCATCTGGAGCAGCCGGTGGTCCTGGAGTTCAGGCTGCTGGAGACGGCCAATCGCAGCAAACCCCTGTGTGTGCAGTGGGACCACAGCGTGCAGTGAGTGAAGAAACGTCTCTGTATTTTATTACAATCTCTGTCACTTTTCATCAGCTCTTATGTTGTGTGACGTACAGCAGAGGGTACGTGTGAAAGCAAGTTTGAAATAAATATTGAGTAGATAATAAAAAGCTACAAGAAATATGATTAAAAGGCCTAGATGACGTTATTTTCTGATCTTGGTTATAATGTTTTCTCATCACAAACAGACCTGGAGTTGTGTTTTGTTTCATTCACACAGGTTTAACACACAAATCCTTTATATTTACGCCGAGTTCTTCCCTCAAACAGAAAACCTGTGACGTCATGTGTTAAAGGCCGTGCTCCGCTGTGTTTTTAAAGTCCATACACTAGAATCATTTGGATAATTTCAAGCCCTGGAGTTGCCAATCTCTTCTGAACTAACGTCGCTGGTAACTTGAAAACTACCTCCTCATGACATCACAAGGTGGAACAGACCATTTAGACCACAGGTGTCAAACATAAGGCCCGGGGGTCAGATCTGGCCCCCCAAGACCTTTAATGTGGCCCTTGCGTGATTTTCTACTAAAATATTTTAATTATATTTTCTATTAAAATCTTGTTAATTTTCTGTGGTGTTTATCACAGCAGCGTCTCCAGCGTCTCTGTACGTGGCCCCTCCCACCAGAGCAGCACAAATGAAGACTTGTCTCTTTCCAAACGCTCTTAAAGGACGATCGTTTTGACTGTTGACCGTGACACCCTCATCAGAAAAATGTCCAACATGAGAAAAGTGGAGCCGAGTGCAGGATTTTACAAGAAAAATTGACTTATTCCTATTTGCATACAAGTTCATGCTAAAACATTGAAACTGAATTTTTCTTAAAGTTTCAGATTGTTCATAATATAATAAGAAAGAGTTCATCAATTAAAAAAGATTTCTGTAATAGATTTGTGTTTCTCTGCACAAATATTTGAACTTATTGTTATTTTGGGGGGTTTATATGACATGAGTTTTCTGATCCGGCCCCTTTGGGATTAAAGTAGGTTGGATACGGCCCCCGGACCAAAATGAGTTTGACACCCCTGATTTAGACCTTTGAAGATGTAGACAGACATTAATAAAGGATTCCTGAAACATGTCAGAATGAAACAAAACACAACTCTGGGTATGTCAGATGAAGAAAAGAGGTAGAAAATAGCAGTACAGGTGGTCTACAAGGGTTAAACTTGTAGTAAAGTTGCCCTTACTGAAAAATATAAAAGTGGGCAAGGTACAAACCCGAGGCACTCCGACTGAATATATTAAAAGTCATTTATTGCATGAACGGACGCCAGCAAGATGGTTTTCGTCGGGGCATAAGGGTTCAGTAAGGGCAGCTTTCCATTTAAAGGTTGTATAGAGGAATTTCCAAGGAACGAGAAATCCAGCGACTGTTTGTCCTTTTTCAAATGTTGCGCATGTGTGAAACCACCCCCCCTCCCCTACAGCTCCTACGTAGAAACGCCTCCTCCCGCCTCCTCCTTACGCCACAAACAGGTTTGTTTACAGCCGGTGCTGCACATGACTTGTAAACAACTAACTACAGTGTTGGTTAGGCAAGACGGAGAAGTGAGGAGCGGGGGGAGGGGGTGTGCGGACATTTCGTGCGCGGACGAGAAGTGAGGAGCAGTGAGAAGAGCGGAACGGGCAGAGAGGGGGCGCGGAGATTCCGTGCGAATGAACTAGCTACTACTACAACACGCAGCAGCAAGCGGACTCTTTCTTTGCCTTGAAAATTAAGTTTTCAGACATAGGATATCGCATTCGTGTCCTGAAAAACGTTTGTCTAGCTCTTGGAAATAAAGTACGTTTTCATAATAAGCAGAAGTTTCCTGTCCAGGAGTAATTTGTGGACCAGTGCGTCAGTCTTTAGACCCTGCGTCTGCTTCAGTCGCGCCATCGCTGGAATGAAGCTTCAAGAATCACCTTAGTTTGGTTTCGCTGCTTTTCCCATTGTCTTCTTCTTTCAGCGATCTCAAAAACGGACTTTTTGTGGCTAACTGCTCCTGGATTCTTGTCGCCATTGCAACAAACTTTGTGCGAACTGCGAGGAAGATATAGGTCAAAAAAGCCGCTAAGAACTGTTGCGTTGGTGGAGTAAACAGCGTCTGTGCGTCTTGCGTCTGTGGACTGCGTGACAGTCGTACGTAAACCACGTAACGGCAGCGCAGGCAAGTCAGTTACGCTAGAAACGTAGGGAGTTTGATTGACAGCCTGTCAGCTCACAGATAACGAGGCAGTGTCGTTATCTATTGGCAAATGTTTAGCCCCACCACGTCCAGAGTTGATGAATTTTTATTCTCTTTTTTTTGGTCATCATAATTACAAGGCTACTGCACCTCTATAATCTATCATTGACAACTTGAAACAAAACAAAAAAACAAAAAAAATCCTCCATACAACATTTAAGACAACTCTGGGTATGTTTTGATGAGGTAACAGCATTATAACATGGTTTAACACTTACAATTTTGTCAATTTTTATATAATGTAGGACCTTAAACGATTTTTGGTCAATGACAAAAGACATTTCACATAATTTTTCACTATTATTTACTCACATGCAGAGGTGAAAATACCGGTGTAATTCTCCTCCTCTCTCCAGGTCGGACACAGGGGGCTTCTGGACGGTGAGGGACTGCATGGTGGTCTACAGAAACACGTCACATGTTCGCTGCCAGTGCCACAAACTGGGAACGTTTGGAGTACTCATGGACAGCTCGCACCGAGAGGTAATCAGAGTACTATCAAGTACTATCAAAGAAGTCTTAAAAGTACAATGTGTAACTTTTCTAGTGAAGGGTTCGTCAAATGTTTTTCTGTATTGATATATTCTTAGTGTGTCAGGAATGTTTCACAGTATGGCATTAACCCTTTCCATCTTCATGTAGAACTACTCAGACCTAGTTACAAGTCAGATCTGTGGAGAGGCAACCCCGCTCACAGTCAGAATGCCTGTTTTTTTAGATTTTTTGAGCAATAGAAACACTTGTAATTGAGTAAATATAAGCTAGAGCTGTTTAATGCCATACTGTGGAACAATGACATATCCATAGAAACAAGCAGGCGAAAGACCCCGTAACCAAAAAGTTACATAGTGCACCTTTAAATATGTAAATGACAGGTTTCATGATACTCCGATTTTGACTTCATTTGGTTGGATAATTGCTGTTGTGAGTAGATTAGTTTTACACAAATCAAGAAACAATTTGTGAAGAAAAGTCTGAAAAATATGTTTGCTGAAAATTACAAGAAGTAGACACATTCTGCCTAAAAGTTCAACACAATTTATACACAGCACAACGCTGCTGAATCCTGTGTGTATTACCAGTTACGAAACTTTAAACAGAGAATGAAGTAAGAACAGAACAGTGAGCGCGTTCTGGTGAAGGTGAAAATGGGAGTTGACAATATGGCGTCTTGAAAGTAAACGAGTACAGATCATTCAAACATGCAAGAATCAGGCACGATAAATGAGAAAGGGAAACAGGTATAAAATCTTTAACTCTTTCCCCCATGAAGACGACATTTGACGACCCCCCTGAACCCTTAATGACGACTTTTGTCACCTCCGCTGTGTCACTAAAGACGTGATTTGACGACCTTTAGAAACGGCTCGGTTTTTCACATGTAAACAGAGACTGTGATAGGTCGGGGCCATTACAACCCACACTAGACTGACCAATAGGATTCAAGGATATGTTTTCGCAGATTTTTTCCGAAGTTAATCGAAATAGTTACGATTGGTAGTTTCCGGAAAAAACACAACACGAAACACGTGCAATGGAAAGATCGCGGCGCTGCGGCGCACAATTTTAGAAATAATGAGGAGCGGACGTATTTTGTGGATAAGTTTAGAGAAAGTGACTTTTATTGATTTCAAAGTGATGAAGTTGATTATAAAGTGGAAAACAGTGATAGCGACGGACTTTCAGAGAGTGAAACTTATGAAGATGAGAATGCAGCTGATGCGTCTGTGTGGAGTCCTGCGATGATCCAAACAAACTATCTGAGCTTTATACTCGATTATGAACCAAAATTGCCCTGAAATCTGGATGTTGCTCAGGCGAGTCCTTTAAAATATTTCAGTCTTTTTTTTCCAAGATGCGATGTATAACAGAATCGCTACAGAAAAAAACGCTTATGTGGAGCTCTGCACACGAGAAAATAGCCAAGATGACAAATACTGGACACACACTGACGGGGAAGAGTTTTATTATTATATTATTATATTATAATAAGCTGAATGAGTTGAATAAATTAAATAAGTTGAATAAGCTAAATGGTAAAAATGAATGAGGTGCACACAGGTGAACAACAGGTAAAAACAGGTGCACACTTGGCTCTACTGTATCTGGTGATATGAAATCTGTTTTAAATACTTTGACAAAGTATATATTTTATTTTTTTTTATGAATATAAGTACTCAGAACATGTATATATCAAATGCTGAATGTAGTTTTTTGTTTTCGATTTTGCACCTGACCAGGTAAACTCTCATTTTCAGTGAGCTGTTATACACCTGTAAATGAGTTGAATCACATTTAAACATCCATAAATGAAGAGTTCAGAGTCTAAGGTTTCCAGAGATACAAATATGTCTGTGTTACAATTAAGTTCATGAGTGTAAAATTAATTTATAATCACTGGTGGAAGTCTGTTTTCTTTTATGCAGTTATGCTCTATGGGTGTAGCCCTAGTAACATATGTATGGGTTGTTCCTAGTCGGCGTCCAGGGGGGAAAGAGTTAAAGCCTCTGAAAAGTAGTTTAACTCGTTTTGCTTTAAAGGTGCACTGTCTAACCTTTCTGTTGGAGGGTCCACCACCTTCTTGTCTTGTGTGGAAATGCTTTGTCCAGAAGGTTTTATCTATTCTATCTGAAGGGAGACAAATATAGGCTACATTACAGGTCAAATCTGCGGAGAGGCAACACTATTCACATTTTTTTTTTAGCAATATAAACACCTGTAATGAGTAAATGCTAGATAGATATGTTTAATGTCAAAGCAATAACATCTTATCACCATGGAGACAAGCAGGTGACGGACCCTCCCCCAGAAAAGTTACACAGTCCACTTTTAAGATTATATTGTGATATGAAAAACTTATCAAACCTATAACAATTTTCGCATTCCTAAATGTTGTGTAAATAGAGTTTCTTGACTTCGCTGCTGAACTTTCTTACTCCCAACTTTCCCAATTCCACATTTCATCACCTTGAGAGTGTCCTTCTCGCAGTAGAGACGTCCACTAAGCCTTTTCTCATCTCACGCTGCTTCCTGCTTCTTCAAACCATAAGAACACATTTTCTGGGACTTAACTTCCCCAGATTTGGCTTCCTAAAATAACTCCGTGAGAAGAACTTTTAGTTGGATTTCATTTGCAACAGCTCTGCAGAAAAGCTGAGACACTTGGGGAAAATATGTATGTGATTGTATATTGTCTCGTGTTTTTCCTTTTAGTTTTTTGCTACGTCGTGCCAAATTTCTCGTTTAAGAGATGAAATAAACAAAACCTAACCTAAACCTAAACCTGTTTATGGAGGAAATGATGGTACTTGGATCCTTGGTTATTTACTATTTGAGGTAATTCCAGTTGCAATTTGGATTTGTTTGTGGTTGCAGAATTGGAGAAGTGGAAAAGTGTCTGTGTTTGAGATTGGAGATGAAGTAAATAGTGAAATATTTATTTAATTTACCTTTTTTTTTTTTTTACTAACTTCATATATTTCAACTCTTCTGTATGTATATAAGATGTAGTAGCAGTAGTAGTAGCAATTGCTGTAGTAGTAGTAGTAGTAGTAGTAGCAGTTGTAATAGTAATTGTAGTTTTTGTAATTGTAGTAGTAGTAGTAGTAGTAGTAGTAGTAGTAGTAGTAGTAGTAGTAGTAGTAGTAGTAGTAGTAGTAGTAGTAGTAGTAGTAGTAGCAGCAGTTGTAATAGTAATTGTAGTTTTTGTAATTGTAGTAGTAACAGTAGTAGTAGTAGTAGTAGTAGTAGTAGTAGTAGTAGTAGTAGCAGCAGTTGTAATAGTAATTGTAGTTTTTGTAATTGTAGTAGTAACAGTAGTAGTAGTAGTAGTAGTAGTAGTAGTAGTAGTAGTAGTAGTAGTAGTAGTAGTAGTAATTGTAGCAGTAGTTGTAGTAGTGGCAGTTGTAGTACTAGTAGTAGTAGTAGTAGTAGTAGAAGTAGTAGCCATAGTTTTAGTTGTAGGTCTAGTTGTTTATAGTTGTAGTAGTAGCAGGAGTTGTAGTAGTAACAGTAGTAGTAGTAGTAGTAGCAGCAGCAGCAGTTGTAATAGTAATTGTAGTTTTTGTAATTGTAGTAGTAACAGTAGTTGTAGTAGAGTAGTTGTAGTAGTGGCAGTTGTAGTACTAGTAGTAGTAGTAGTAGTAGTAGAAGTAGTAGCCATAGTTTTAGTTGTAGGTCTAGTTGTTTATAGTTGTAGTAGTAGCAGGAGTTGTAGTAGTAGTAGCAGTATTAGTAATAGTTGTAGTAGTAGCAGTAGCAAGAGTTCTTTTAGTAGTAGTAGCAGTAGTAGTAGTTGTTTTAGTAGTAGTTGTAGTAGAAGTAGCAGTAGTTGTAGTAGAGCAGTACTAGCACTAGTAGAAGTAGCTGTAGTTGCACTAAAGTGGTAGTAGTAGTAGTTGTAGCAGTAGCAGTAGTAGTAGTAGTAGCAGTAGCAGTAGCAGCAGTAGTAGTTGTAGTAACAATAGCAGTAGTAGTAGCAGTCGCAGTAGTTGTAGTAGAGTAGTAGTAGCAGTATTAGTAATAGTTGTAGTAGTAGCAGTAGCAGGAGTTCTTGTAGTAGTAGCAGTAGTAGAAGTTGTTGTAGTAGTACTAGTAGAAGTAGCTGTAGTTGCAGTAAAGTGGTAGTAGTAGTAGTTGTAGCAGTAGTAGTAATAGTAGTAGTAGCAGTAGCAACAATAGTAGTTGTAGTAGCAGTAGTTGTAGTAACAGTAGCAGTAGTAGTAGTAGAGTAGTAGTAGCAGTATTAGTAATAGTTGTAGTTGTAGTAGTAGTAGCATTGGCAGTAATTGTAGTAGATGAAGTAGTTGTACAAGTTGTAGTTGTAGTAGTAGCAGTAGTTGTAGTTTTTTTCCTGGTAGTGTGATCATATCCACTGATGTATATTCTCCTTTGTGTGGAGCAGCAGTTGTAATAGTAGTTGTAGTTGTTGTAGTAGCAGTAGCAGTAGTAGCAGTAGTTGTAGTAACAATAGCAGTAGTAGTAGCAGTCGCAGTAGTTGTAGTAGAGTAGTAGTAGCAGTATTAGTAATAGTTGTAGTAGTAGCAGTAGCAGGAGTTCTTGTAATAGTAGCAGTAGTAGAAGTTGTTGTAGTAGTACTAGTAGAAGTAGCTGTAGTTGCAGTAAAGTGGTAGTAGTAGTAGTTCTAGCAGTAGTTGTAATAGTAGTAGTAGCAGTAGCAACAATAGTAGTTGTAGTAGCAGTAGTTGTAGTAACAGTAGCAGTAGTAGTAGTAGAGTAGTAGTAGCAGTATTAGTAATAGTTGTAGTTGTCGTAGTAGTAGCATTGGCAGTAATTGTAGTAGATGAAGTAGTTGTACAAGTTGTAGTTGTAGTAGTAGCAGTAGTTGTAGTTTTTTTCCTGGTAGTGTGATCATATCCACTGATGTATATTCTCGTTTGTGTGGAGCAGCAGTTGTAATAGTAGTTGTAGTTGTTGTAGTAGCAGTAGCAGCAGTAGTTGTAGTAACAATAGCAGTAGTAGTAGCAGTATTAGTAATAGTTGTAGTAGTAGCAGTAGCAGGAGTTCTTGTAATAGTAGTACTAGTAGAAGTAGCTGTAGTTGCTGTAAAGTGGTAGTAGTAGTAGTTGTAGCAGTAGTAGTAATAGTAGTAGTAGCAGTAGCAACAATAGTAGTTGTAGTAGCAGTAGTTGTAGTAACAGTAGCAGTAGTAGTAGTAGAGTAGTAGTAGCAGTATTAGTAATAGTTGTAGTTGTAGTAGTAGTAGCATTGGCAGTAATTGTAGTAGATGAAGTAGTTGTACAAGTTGTAGTTGTAGTAGTAGCAGTAGTTGTAGTAACAGTAGTAGTAGTAGTAGAGTAGTAGATGAAGTAGTTGTACAAGTTGTAGTTGTAGTAGTAGCAGTAGTTGTAGTAACAGTAGTAGTAGTAGTAGAGTAGTAGATGAAGTAGTTGTACAAGTTGTAGTTGTAGTAGTAGCAGTAGTTGTAGTTTTTTTCCCTGGTAGTGTGATCATATCCACTGATGTATATTCTCGTTTGTGTGGAGCAGCAGTTGTCATAGTAGTGGTAGTTGTTGTAGTAGCAGTAGTCGTAGTAAAGTAGCAGTAGTAGCAGTAGTTGTAGTTTTTTTTCCTGGTAGTGTGATCATATCCACTGACGTATATTCTCGTTTGTGTGGAGCAGCAGTTGTAATAGTAGTTGTAGTTGTTGTAGTAGCAGTAGCAGTAGTCGTAGTAAAGTAGCAGTAGTAGCAGTAGTTGTAGTTTTTTTCCTGGTAGTGTGATCATATCCACTGACGTATGTTCTCGTTTGTGTGGAGCAGCAGTTGGAGGGCGACTTGGAGATCCTGGCCCTGGTCTCGTACTCGTCCCTGTCCCTGTCCATGCTCTGCCTCCTCCTGACCGTCCTGGCCCTGAGCTGCCTGCGCCTCAAGTCCAACACCCGGAGCATCCACTGCAACACAGCGGCCGCCATGTTCCTCTCCGAGCTCGTCTTCCTGCTCGGGGTCAACCAGACGGAGCAGCAGGTGAGTCCAAAGCCCTGTTATTACCAACGGGAGAGTCTAATGTTATAAACGGTTTGTAGTTTAAACCAGTGTTTCCCAAAGACTCAGTTGGTTCTCAAGAGATTTTTTTGGGGGGTCGCCTTGCATATAGGTTTGCAGTACACAGGGCTACAGTCAGTGTCGGGAAGGTGACTTTTAAAATGTATTCCCCTACAGATTACAGATTACATACCCCAAAATGTAGTTTGTAACGTAATCCATTAAATTACTTAAAGTGAGTAACGTAATCTGAATACTTTGGATTACTTGATTTGCTGATATTGTAACATAAGAAGTTTTGTCTGCTAAAAGAAAATGAAAAGCCCAGACTTTACTGAACCATATTAAAAATATTATTGATAGAAGAGGAGGAGACACGGTCCACGCAGCATGATTTAGTCCTGTTAAATCCTGTTTGAGACATAGTTTAGACCTGGTTTTAGTCCTGGTTCAGTCCTGGTTTAGATCTAGTTTAGTCTTGGGTTAGTCCTGGTTTAGATCTGGTTTGAGATCTGGTTTAATCCTGGTTTAGTCCTGGTTTAGTCCTAGTTTAGACCTTGTTTAGACCTGCTTTTAGTCCTGGTTTAGATCTGGTTTTAGACCTGGTTTGGACCTGGTTTAGTTTCCGGCAATGAGTGGAATTACAGAAAAAAAAAGGGATATCGCCCAAAATGTGAAAACAGGAAAATACCTCTGTGTAATCCATTTATTTCAACAAAGTAACTGTAATCCAATTACCACTCACTGAAACAGTAACTGTAACTGAATACAGTTACTCATAATTTGTACTCTGATTACGTAACTCCAGTACATGTAATCTGTTACTCCCCAACACTGGCTACAGGCAAGTAGGCGACTTATGGATCATTTTATTGCTGGTTCAGGCACTGTTTTTCATTGTTTAAAACTTGAGTATCATATTTTCCGGGTTATTAGACGCGCTCTTAAGCCTCTAACCCATCAAAAAACGACTGTGCGCCACAATCCAGAGCGCCCCATACACGAATCCACTCGGGTGTCCCAGCACGACTTCAGTAAACTACAAAGTCGCACCACCCGCAGCGCACGCAAACACACACGGAGCAGACAGCGACCGCACAGCGAAAAACACCCACAGACACACTCACCACTCCACGCCGACGAGGAACGGAACGGAGGAACGAACCGAAAAAGCGAGTGCAATGTGCCACTTCTAGACACGACTGAACAACTGAGTCACTGCAAACACGCCGACAATCCGTTGGTCCCAGACAGCACCCTCCCTACACGCCACAACTGAACAAAGCCCAGAGTCACCGTGAACGCACCAAACAAACAAAACCACTCACCCATCACACTGTTGTGTTTCATTTAAAGTCTGGTGCAGTTTATTTGTGAAAAAAGTTCGAAAATAGACCATTTAATGACAGTGCGTCTTATAATCCAGAGAGCCTAATAATGCGGAAAATACGGTAATACTAATTGTTCAGAGAGACAAGATCAGTCAGTCAACAATAAAACATCATCATCAATGTTCAATAATGGTCAAATCCACCTTTATTTTGTGATTTATGAATAATGTCTATTAATTTGGGTCGTGAAGGTTTGTGACTTTTAAAATATGGGTCCTCAGAAAAAAAGTTTGGGAAACACTGGTTTAAACGGCCCATGTTACGCTCTTTTCTGATTTATGTTATAATGTTTTCTCATTTCTTTGTCACAAACAAACAAGAGTTGTGTTTTGTTTCATTCACACGTGTTTAACGCACAAACACAGAGTTCTTCTCCTCTCAAATACAAAAAAACTCTCTTTCAACTTGTGAGCTCATGTGGTTATACAGGAAGTGCTCCACAGTGTTTTAAAACTCCTCACACCTTCACTAGAATCTTTGGGGTGATTTTAGTCCTGGAATTGCCAATCTCTAATAACTAACAGTTAAAAAGTAGCTTCACAACATCACAAGGTGGAACAGAGCATTTTGAGCTCTGGAGATGTAGACAGACTCATAATAAAGGTTTAATTAAACATGTGTGAATGGAACAAAATGCAACTCTGGGTATGTTGTTGTGGCTTAAAGCTCACAAGAGTCCATTTTGTATAATATAGGACAGGGGTGGGCAATTATTTTTTCCATGGGGCCACATGAGAAAGAGAAAATATTGTGGAGAGCCGAGCCTAAATGCTTAGCTCAGTTCTGCATAATCTGAATTGTATTTCTTTATAAAAAGCAGTAAATAACATTGTTTTGATGAGCTAAGAGGAGTTTATGTTATGACTAAGCAATGAAAAAGTGAGTGTAACGGCCAAAACTTGCCGCTATGGCTGCAGCGTGTGTGGTGTCTTCCATAAAAAGAGTCCAAATACCGTGTTCCTCAATTAGTTTATTGATGTACCTTCTAGCCTTCCAAAAATACACCGATTCAGCACTCAACAGATCACGGTCAAAAGACTGTATACCTTCACACTGCAACACCTGAGTGTGTCTTTCTCCCCCCCTTATATAGGGGAGCAAATTGTGTAGCAAGGTACAAATAGCGCCACACAGAGGCGGGAGGTAGAGAGGCGTAATATGGCTCCAACAGTGAGGTTACCTTGCAAAAAAATGTCATTAAAAAAATAAAAGCAATGCAGTTTTAGTCCATGCATGAGGTGAAATTATAAAATATGTTTATTTTGTAATTCCAAATGAGCTTAAACAGGTCAGAGCTGCACACTGCCCAGGTCTGATATTGGACCTTTAAAACTGAGCTGGAGGGTGGGTCATGATTCTGGGTCAGTCCATATGAAACTCAACTGACATAAAGTTTAATGTCAAAAAAATTACTGAGATTAAATATTTTCTACACTATAGTTGGTTAAAAGATTTCAGAGGTGGTCAGTCCTCCCTTTGGACGCAGCACAGTGTAGTAAAGTATAGTATAAATTCCAGCTATTAAATTCAAAAAGGCTTTTGGGTGGGGACCGCTTTTACAAACAGTGTTCAGATGATTTAAACCTTTTCCAGTCCCGGACGAATGAAGGATTACACCGTCTTTTTACACCGCAGTAAAAAAAGTGGCGCATTTACTTCGAGACATGATTAAAAGTATTATGAGCGACATTTTACACCTTTAAAAATGCTCTTACAGTTTCCTCCTTCCCGGGCCGGTCTGTCCCCGTAACTCATTTTTGGCAGCTGCATTATCTGTTAAAGTTTATCCCCTGCAGTTCTTCTTCAATCTCTCTCCGTCGTGCCTGTCTCTCTCTCTCTCTCTTGCTCGTGGTGTAAAGACGGTGCTCCTCTGTGACAATATGCTCCACACTAACCATCCTCTCTCTGGCTGTGCTCCTGGACTCGGTGGAGGAGTGTGAGGGGAGTCTGCTCACACCTCTGTTTATAAATACTGCGATTTCTGCTACTCTGACACAAACTATTACAATTCAAACAGAAAAGTATTCTAGTGGATCTTTTGGACGCTCACAGAAGCTTTACGGAGCCTTAATCATTCATTCCACACTCACTGACTTATTGTTCAATATATTAAAGCTGGAACTGCTAGTATATGGGCCCAGTCAAGCAGAAGTAAACAACAAGGCCAAAAATTCAAGTTAATGCATCTGATATAAAAATGTATTGAACAGATACATATGTGCTCTAGTTTATGAAACTGTTGACCTTTTTTCTGTACCATTTTTGGTTCTAAAGTTACATACATTTTAAACAGACCATGTATGAAACATGGAACAAAAATTATTTCCCAAATTTCAAAGACCTGCAAATCATGTAAATAAATGGATGTATTTCATCATATCTTGTGTTATTTGATCTTTGAACTGTTGATGAAGGTACATTTTTTTTTTTTTTTTTAATGTATTTAAAATGATACAAATTTGCTGGAAGGACTGACATAATTTATAGAAATAGTTTCCTTTCATTTTGAAGTAATATTAAAGTATTCAGAAGAAAAAAGTGACAAATTATGTAAAATCATGCACCTTCTACTTGTTTGCACAATTTTCCCTCTGTTACTTTTCCCTCCGTTACCATGACCTTTCTTAATAAAAAATCTCATTACTCAAAAAGTAAGAGGTTTTTCAACCTAATCTTGTACCATATGGTAGAAAACTATATGAAGCAAATATTCAAACCAGTTTGTTAAGGATATGTAAGTGAGAACCAAGAGTTATCACTGTTTGGATTTATTGCCCAAAAAGTGCTGCATATTTCATTCCCTCCATTACCGACATGAGTTTTTAATTTTTTTGTCAACAACTTGAAAGAATCTCACAGGTTTAACTTGACCCTGTTGGAGTGTAACTCTTTCCTACATTCTGATACTTTACTTATTTCAATAGTCCCTCTAGTTTCTGAATAAGAAACATTTGAATGTAAAAAATCTGCCCCTGTTTCCCTCCGTTACCACTTGACCAGACCCATATATATTTTGTCACTCAATATTTGTCATGGGCACATTTTCTTTACAATTGTGGGGAGATTTAAGCCATTTTTATGTAATACGATGAGCTGTTGAGCTGAGCTGATTTGAGTTGTGGAGTAGAATAAATAAACGTCATTCTGCCGTTTATTTGCTGCAGCTCGTACCTTTTTCTGATACTGTATATAAAAAAATTGTTTACTACTTTATTCCTCCTTTGTGACAGTGCCATAATGTAGATTCAGTATTATTGTTTAGCACAGTATTTCTCTGTAGCAATATATCATGCTTTTAAACTTGTTATCGTGACAGGCCTAGTAGTCACAGCTGCCCTGGGACAGACTGACAAAAGTGAGACTGCCAATCTGCGCCAGTGCTAAAAATGTTTGTTCTCACCCACACTGTTTTTTTTATTTTTTTTGTTTTTCTGGTGGAGAGTGAAATTTGTATTGCTTTGTCTGAAATGTTCCACTGTATGAGATGAATGTATCTATCTTTAATTTAGTAAATTATAGGTCTTTTTATTGCAAGAAATTAAGAATCTTTTGTCTCCATGAAGATCGCAACGTTTAATGTTATTTTCAAACCCTCCACTTAAATCCAATCCACTTTATTTATAGATCACATTTTATAAGCATGACAAAGTGCTGCACAGACAAATTAAGATAATAAAAGACAGTAAGTCATAATTAAATAACAAAAGTATATAGAAAGTGTTAAAATGCATAAAGCTAAAAAATTATAAAAGAATTAAATTAAATTAAATTAAAGTCACAGAGGACCACACAACTCACTTGGTGTTAAAAGCCAGAGAAGAAATGTGGGTCTTAAGACAAGACTTGAAACACAACACTGTGGGGGCAGAGTGTTTCAGAGTTTGGGGTCGGCTACAGAGAAAGTCCTGTCCCCGCTGTTTTTAAAGGTTGTATGGAGGATTTTTTTTTAGTTTCAAACTGTCAGTGAAAGATTATAATACCATTACAGAGACGCAGCAGCTTTGTAATTATGATGACCAAAAAAAAAAAAGAACGAAAATCTATCAACTGTGGACGTGTTGAGGCCAGATAAACATCAGCCAATAGAAAACGAGGCTCCCTCATTTTCTATTGGCTGTTAGGTTGTCAATCAAACTCCCTAGTATAACTGACTCGTCGGAGCGCGGGGATTACGTGGTTTACGCAGCGGTTCTTAGTGGCTTTTTCGAACTGTCGCTTCCTCGCATTTCGCACAAAGTTTGTCGCGACGGCGGACGAGAATCCACGACCGGTTCGCCGCAAAAGAAAGTCCGTTTTTGAGGTCGCTGAAAGACGAAGAGAAGTGGAAAAGTAGCAAAGCCAAACTGAGGTGATTCTTGGAGATCTCGTCCAGCGATGGCGCGACCGAAGCAGACGAAGGGTCTAAAAACTGACGCGTCGGTCGCTGAATTACTTCTAGACAGGAAACTTCAACAGTAATTCTGAATGCGCACAAGGACTGTCGCTGAGTTTCTCTTCCCTTAAAAAAAATCCTCTATACAACCTTTAAGTCTCGTTTTAGGCGCTACAAATTGGAGCTGGACCTTGGACACGCAGGGGTGTAAATCTGGATGAGGTCCGAGATGTAACGTGGGGCCAGTCCATTCAAAGCTTTAAAAACAAACAATAAAATCGAACAGGAAGCCAGCGCAAAGATGCAAGAATTGTTGTGATATGTTCCTGTTTTTTGGTTCTGTGCCGTAGAGTGCTGGACTAACTGCAGATGGGGTAGTGCTTTTTGAGAGATGATGAAATAAAAGTGTGCATGACCTGTTTGAAAAGATTAAAAGATAAAAAAATGGTCTGACTTTGGATAAAAGCCGCAGAAATAAAAACAAAATTTTAAGATGCCGTTTATCTGCTTATCAAATTTAAAATCACTGTCTTGGCTGGTGATATTTTACGGATCCCAAGTCGACGCGGGAGCTGCCAGATCCAAACAACATGACCTCAGTCTTTCCTTCATTCAGTTTAAAAAAGAAATTGAGCCATTCAAGCCTTGACGTCACTTAAACAGTCAATAAGGGATAAAAACTTACATAGTGCCTCTTTAAATCAATAATGCAATCTATAAGAACACAATATTTATGTCAGGTTTCACTCACAGTAGTTTCTCACTCTCATATAATAAAGACTGTGATCGTAGATTCTGTTTTTGTTGACCTCTGTTTCTTTTTCTCTCCAGTTCCTGTGCACAGTGGTGGCCATCTTGCTCCATTACTTCTTCATGTCGACGTTTGCCTGGATGTTTGTGGAGGGTCTGCACATCTACAGGATGCAAACTGAACAAAGAAACATCAACTACGGAGCCATGAGGTTCTACTACGCCATCGGCTGGGGAGTGCCGGCCATCATCACAGGTACAACAACATGTACAAACTGCTCTAATGTTCTAACTAGGGATGGGCATGATTAGTCGATTAATCGATAATTGATCATTAAGAATTTCATCGATTTCGTTCATTTTAATCGACAAACCGAATGTAGGTTGTTGTGTGTAGTGTGACCAAACAGGTCTGTACATGTGTCTCTGCACTCAGAAGGAGCGAGACACAAACAGTGGGTCAGTCTGCAGCGTACCGAAGCACAAATGTGTATTTAACGATGATTTGTACAAGAAATTCCACGCTTTCCGTTCCAGACAAGTGTGAGTCCATGTGCACAGTGTATAAAGCAGCACATATGTTTCAGTGTCCAGTGGGAAAAAGTTTTGCCAGGTGAGAGTCGCTCAATGTCGATGACGAGTCCCCACCTCCCTCCCCCCGTACGGTGTCCTGGTTTTGACAAACGCAGATATGGTCACACTAACCTGTATTCACCTGAGTCATGTCTTTTAATCTGACAGAAGTTGAACCACATCAGCGACACAAGAACTGTAGTTTTATCTTCGCTTAGTTTATGCAAATTAGCGATGTGGTTTTAAGTTTTGTTTCTGTGAGAGTTGTAAAACTGAATTAAACACATTATAATGTCAAACGGGCTGATGTGGCTCTAGAGTCGTTACGGTTTATATGTCGTAAAGTTGAATTTATTTATGCAGATTAGTAGTGCAGATAGTAATAATAATGATGATCATTTTAATATAAAAACATTACTGATTAATTGATAATCGATCGTTAATTCTTCTGACGATTGATTAAGAAAATTTCATTGAATGCCCATCCCTAGTTCTAACTGTTTTCATATAATTACATTTTTAACAGAAATATTACTTGTCCTTTTTATTTTATTTTATTTTATTTTATTTTTATGGTCCTTATAAGTCCTTTTTGCATTTAATGTATGAGTTGAGTCCTAATTAACTTTATTTGATATTATTTAAAAGTTAAACTGGTGCTCCCAGCTTTTCGGTTCTTGAATTGGTGTTGTATTTTTTTATTGGTTCTACATTGGAAGGTGCACTGCAGAGGTGGAGACTTGCAAGTCGTGACTTGGACTCGAATCAGAGCTCGAATCACTATTTTTAGGACTTGACACTTGACTTGATAAAATGGACTAAGACTTGGGACTCGGACTTGAGGCCCGTGACTTGAGAAGACTTGATGTTTCTTCTAAAAAAATATATGTTTTTAGAAAATGCTCTTTACAGTTGATAAATGTGGTGCTTAATTTTACTGAAGCAAACTGAAACATGCCCCTCCCACTTCTGTTTGTTACTTTGGGTGAAACTGAAGTACTGTGAGATTATATCCTCAAAAGTACTACAGTATAATATACAGTACAATACAGTAAAACAGAGGGAACTACATAGAAAATGATCCTTCCATTTCAGTGCAGGTAAAATAACTGTTATTTAACACTTTTAAATCAGATTTCTTTCTGTTCTGACCGTTCACACTAAGATCTTGTCAAGATATTTAAAAAGGAAAAATTGGCATTCCTACATTCTTACATAAATATGTTAATAGTTGTTTTGTTTTTTTCAGACCAAGGGTTTCGACTGCTCAGACTGGTACAATTTAGTTTAACAGTCATATTTATTGCAAAAATCTAACCTAAATTTTGGTTTAAAGACTTGAAATGACTTAAAGCTCAAAGCAGACGACTTGGACTTGACTTGGGCTTGACTTGGGCTTGACTTGGACTCGTGGGCCACTGACTTGAGACTCGACTTGGACTTGCCTGTCTTTGCCTTGGGACTTGACTCGGACTTGAGGTCAAAGACTTGAGATTTACTTGAGACTTGCAAAACAACGACTTGGTCCCACTTCTGGTGCACTGCGTGACATTTCTGATAGACGGTTTTATTCAGAATTAGCTTTTTGTGTATTGCTCAAAATGTATTAAAACATACGATCTAAGTGTTTATTTTATTTTTTTGAACATGAGTTGAGAAGATAAGAAGCATTTAGTTTGATCTGAGTAAATGTGAGCGAGGTTGCCTGTCCACAGATCTGACCTGTAACTCTCTGTGCAGGTTGAGTTAGATAGTTTTAAAGCCATATTGTGGAACATTTGCCAAAGCTCTTTTCACCCTCTTTGTTGTGTTACAAGTGTCATAGACTGAACTGAACATAAATATGTAACGTTGGCAACGCGGCTCCCCCTTTTTTCCCCGTTTAAACCTGTTTGGAGCAGATTTATACTGTAGTAATCTATATGATGTGTCCCTTCTCTCCGTGCTGACATTCCCCCCCTGCAGACAGTGGTATAAATTGCCTGTGTGAGATATTAAATGTCAGTTAAACCCGGAGTCTTATCTCCAGACACACATACACGGGGGCTGAGGCCTTTATTAAATATATATAGACCCTTGGACCAGAGCAGCTGTTGGATTCACACGTAAAGGGATTTTTAGTCCAAACCTGTAGCTCTAAAATTATTCAAATATTTTAGTTTGATTTGTATGATTTGTCAGAGATTGAACAAATGCTGAGAATTTGTACTCAAGTAAAAATATTGTTGCATGGCTAGAATCAATTACAACACAGGTGTCAAACATAAGGCCCGGGGACCAGATCCGGCCCCCCAAGACATTTAATGTGGCCCTTGGGTGATTTTCTACTAAGATATTTTAATTCTATTTTCTATTAAAATCTTGTTAATTTTCTGTGGTGTTTATCACAGCAGCGTCTCCAGCGTCTCTGTACGTGGCCCCTCCCACCAGAGCAGCACAAATGAAGACTTGTCTCTTTCCAAACGCTCTTAAAGGACGATCGTTTTGACTGTTGACCGTGACACCCTCATCAGAAAAATGTCCAACATGAGAAAAGTGGAGCCGAGTGCAGGATTTTTACAAGAAAAATTGACTTATTCCTATTTACAAACAAGTTCATGTTAAAATATTGTGTTGAAATTCGAATTTTTTCTTAAAGTTTCAGATTGTTCATAATATTATAATAAGAAAGAATTCATCAATTAAAAAATATTTCTGTAATAGATTTGCGTTTCTCTGCACAAATATTTGAACTTATTGTTATTTTTGGAGTTTATATGACATGAGTTTTCTGATCCGGCCCCTTTGAGATCAAAGTAGGTTGGATACGGCCCCCGGACCAAAATGAGTTTGACACCCCTGAATTACAAGTGTGTTTTGTGTGTGTTTGCAGGTCTGTCCGTGGGGCTGGACCCTGAGGGCTATGGGAACCCGGACTTCTGTTGGGTCTCCATCTACGACAAACTCATCTGGAGCTTCGCCGGACCCATCGCCATCGTCATCCTGGTAAACGCGACTGACTCTGATTCACAACACTACCACCGTGCAGATTTTTTAACCATACTGCAACAATATTCACTCATCTTTAGTTTACTTAGTCGTGTTTTGATTGATTAAACATGTTTGAGTAATCCTCTGTGATCCTGCATTTGAGGTTTGAGTGCTCAGGTAATTCCTGTTTTCACCCACCCCCCATCTCAAGCATTGATTATTAAAATGAACATGTGGGGTTCTTAAATGTCACGTAGTCACTAATAAAACATGCGCAATTAAACCATTTTAAATCAATATTGCTGTTTTACAGTGAACAAAATGTAATGTTCTACCTGTGTTAAAATTTTAAAGCTCTTTAATATTTGAGTAATACTATAAACGTCTCTGCCCTGTGGTTGTAAGTGTCCTTCATCAGGACCTCCTCTGCTGTGGCTTGAGGACAGGGTTCTCCAAATTTTTTCCTCTGATGAGCTATCTTCACGAAATGAAAATGTCAAAGAGCTACTCATTTTAGCGGTTGTAAGAAATTGAAAACGTAGAGGAGCAATACTGAGCTTTAGGCGGGGTACAGTTAGCTGCCTATTAAAGGTTGTATAGAGGATTTTTTTAAGGGAAGAGAAACTCAGCGACAGTCCTTGTGCGCATTCAGAATTACTGTTGAAGTTTCCTGTCTAGAAGTAATTCAGCGACCGACGCGTCAGTTTTTAGACCCTTCGTCTGCTTCGGTCGTGCCATCGCTGGACGAGATCTCCAAGAATCACCTCAGTTTGTCTTTGCTCCTTTTCCTCTTCTCTTCTTCTTTCAGCGACCTCAAAAACGGATTTTCTTTTGCGGCGGATTCTCGTCCGCCATCGCGACAAACACAAACTTTGTGCGAAATACGACGAAGCGACAGTTCGAAAAAGCCTCTAAGAACCGCTGCATAAACCACGTAATCCCCGCGCTCCGACGAGTCAGTTATACTAGGGAATTTGATTGACAACCTAACAGCCAATAGAAAATGAGGGAGCCTCGTTTTCTATTGGCTGATGTTTATCTGGCCTCAACACGTCCACAGTTTATAGATTTTCGTTCTTTTATTTTTTTGGTCATCATAATTACAAAGCTGCTGTGTCTCTGTAATGGTATTTTAATCTTTCACTGACAGTTTGAAACAAAAAAAAATCCTCCATACAACCTTTAAACATAAACCATTATCCATTTATTAGTGCACAATTTAGGAATCAAAATTACACATTTACAGTGGAAATAAGTCTGATTTTAGTTATTAAGCACTTGGAAGGGGGTGGAGAGCTACATGGAGCTCCTGAGCTACAGGTTGGAGATCCTGCTTTAGGACATGTCGGGTCTGATATTCTCTCATCGTCTGTATGTTGATGTGTTCTACAGAAAAATGGAGCCATCTTCATGATCGTCGCCAAGATGTCCTGTAACTCCAGTCAGAAGGAGACCAAGAAACAGCCAGTCATGTGAGTACAACAACTATACACTGACTGTGGAGTTTATTATAATACAGAAAATATATATTTTTAAAGTCAAAATTTCTATTGTTATGTTCAACTGTCAAACAATTAACATATGGGCCCAGTCAAGCAGAAGTAAACAGCAAGGCCAAAAATTCAAGTTAATGCATCTGATATAAAAATGTATTGAACAGATACATATGTACTCTAGTTTATGAAACTGTTGACCTTTTTTCTGTACCATTTTTGGTTCTAAAGTTACATATGTTTTAAACAGACCATGTATGAAACATGGAACAAAAATAATTTCCCAAACTTCCCAAAACAGACCTGCAAATCATGTAAATAAATGGATGTATTTCATCATATCTTGTGTTATTCCATCTTTGAACTGTTGATGAAGGTACATGATTTTTTTTTTTTAAATGTATTTAAAATGATAAAAATTTGCTTGGAAGGACTGACATATTTTATAGAAATAGTTTCCTTTCATTTTGAAGTAATATTAAAGTATTCGGAAGAAAAAACGCTGACAAATTATGTAAAATCCTGCACCTTCTACTTGTTTGCACATTTTTTCCCTCCGTTACTTTTCCCTCCGTTACCATGACCTTTCTTAATAAAAAATCTCATGACTCAAAAAGTAAGAGGTTTTTCAACCTAATCTTGTACCATATGGTAGAAAACTATATGAAGCAAATATTCAAACCAGTTTGTTAAGGATATGTAAGTGAGAACCAAGAGTTATCACTGTTTGGATTTATTGCCCAAAAAGTGCTGCATATTTCATTCCCTCTGTTACCAACATGAGTTTTTAAATTTTTTGTCAACAATTTGAAAGAATATCACAGGTTTAACTTTACCCTGTTGGAGTGTAACTCTTTCCTACATTCTGATACTTTACTTATTTCAATAGTCCCTCTAGTTTCTGAATAAGAGACATTTGAATGTAAAAAATCTGCCCCTGTTTCCCTCCGTTACCACTTGACCAGACCCAATATATGAATAATTAATCATTCTAAAAACGAACAATATAATGCTTCAATATCAGTAACTTTCTGTAAGAACCACTGTAAAGCAGTTAAGCTATTAAAATTAAAATATATATCTTGCAAAACATGAAGGAATCGTGTGACTAAAACTCAGTAATACAGCCTAAATATAGCCGACTTATTGTGTTTCCAAGTAGAGCAGCTGAAGCAGGTGTATCACTGTTCTCTTAGATCTCTGTCCACGTGTCCTTGTGTCTCTCCTCTGATCGCTCACTCATGCTGTAAAAACAATGACATTTTGAACTGGACCAAACCCAAAGACCTGACTGGTTTTGGCTCAAAGTCCCCTCAGATCTTCGTGTCCCGTTGAGCATCACCAGCTGTCAGTGATGAGAAGAATACCTTTAAAATGTATTTAGTTACACAATAGTGAACACCTTCTTTCACATGTTCATGTTCAGTTACACGGTCCATTTGGTTCTCAATCGACCTACCTGGATAAATAAAGGTTAAATCAAAACTTTTAATTAGTAGTGTATGTTGTAAACTTCAGTGATATTGTGTATTTTCAGTATCATAGAAAAGACTTGTTGTACTTTCTTCAGTCAATATTTGAATCTAAAACGGTACATTTTCTCCTTTCAGAGCTACGATCCGCAGTTCTTTCCTGCTTCTGCTCGTGGCCTCCTCCACCTGGTTCTGTGGGCTCATGGCCGTCAACAACAGTGTCCTGGCTTTTTACTACATCTTCAACATCCTCTGCCTCCTCCAGGTGACTGCTCCCTACAACTCTACGCTTGGTTTAATCCTGATCTGGTTTAGTCCTGGTTTCATCCTAATTTAGACCTGGTTTAGTCCTGGTTTAGTCCTGGTTTAGTCCTGGTTTAGGCCTGGTTTAGTCCTGGTTTAGTCCTGGCTTAGTCCTGGTTTAGTCCTGGCTTAGTCCTGGTTTAGTCCTGTCTTAGACCTGTCTTAGACCTGGCTTAGACATGGTTTAGTCCTGGCTTAGTCCTGGCTTAGTCCTGGTTTAGTCCTGGCTTACACCTGGCTTAGACATGGTTTAGTCCTGGTTTAGACCTGGCTTAGACCTGGCTTAGACCTGGTTTAGACATGGTTTAGTCCTGGTTTAGATCTGGCTTAGACATGATTTAGTCCTGGTTTAGTCCTGGTTTAGTCCTGGTTTAGACATGGTTTAGTCCTCTTAGTCCTGGCTTAGTCCTGGTTTAGTGGTTTAGTCCTGGTTTAGTCCTGGTTGTTTAGACCTGGCTTAGACATGGTTTAGTCCTTTAGACCTGGCTTAGACCTGGTTTAGACATGGTTTAGTCCTGGTTTAGACCTGGCTTAGACCTGGTTTAGTCCTGGTTTAGTCCTGGTTTATGGTTAGTCCTGGTTTAGTCCTGGTTTAGTCCTGGTTTAGTCCTGGTTTAGTCCTGGTTTAGTCCTGGTCTGTTTAGTCCTGGTTTAGTCCTGGTTAGTCCTGGTTTAGTCCTGGTTTAGTCCTGGTTTAGTCCTGGTGTAGTCTGTTTTAGTCCTGGTTTAGTCCTGGTTTAGTCCTGTAGTTTAGTCCTGGTTTAGTCCTGGTGTAGTCCTGGTTTAGTCCTGGTGTTAGTCCTGTTTAGTCCTGGTGTAGTCCTGGTTTAGTCCTGGTGTAGTCCTGGTTTAGTCCTGGTTTAGTCCTGGTTGTAGTCCTGGTGTAGTCCTGGTTTAGTCCTGGTTTAGTCCTGGTGTAGTCCTGGTTTAGTCCTGGTTTAGTCCTGGTTTAGTCCTGGTTTAGTCCTGGTTTAGTCCTGGTTAGTCCTGGTTTAGTCCTGGTTTAGTCCTGGTGTAGTCCTGGTTTAGTCCTGGTTTAGTCCTGGTTTAGTCCTGGTTTAGTTTAGTCCTGGTTTAGTCCTGGTGTTTAGTCCTGGTGTAGTCCTGGTTTAGTCCTGGTTTAGTCCTGGTTTAGTCCTGGTGTTTAGTCCTGGTTTAGTCCTGGTTTAGTCCTGGTTAGTCCTGGTTTAGTCCTGGTTTAGTTTAGTCCTGGTGTTTAGTCCTGGTTTAGTCCTGGTTTAGTCCTGGTTTAGTCCTGGTGTAGTCCTGGTTTAGTCCTGGTGTAGTCCTGGTTTAGTCCTGGTTTAGTCCTGGTTTAGTCCTGTGTTTAGTCCTGGTTTAGTCCTGGTTTAGTCCTGGTTTAGTCCTGGTTTAGTCCTGGTTTAGTCCTGGTTTAGTCCTGGTGTAGTCCTGGTTTAGTCCTGGTTTAGTCCTGGTGTAGTCCTGGTTTAGTCCTGGTTTAGTCCTGGTTTAGTTTAGTCCTGGTGTAGTCCTGGTTTAGTCCTGGTTTAGTCCTGGGTTTAGTCCTGGTTTAGTCCTGGTTTAGTCCTGGTTTAGTCCTGGTTTAGTCCTGGTTTTAGTCCTGTGTAGTCCTGGTTTAGTCCTGTTTAGTCCTGGTTAGTCCTGGTTTAGTCCTGGTTTAGTCCTGGTTTAGTCCTGGTTTAGTTAGTCCTGGTTTAGTCCTGGTTTAGTCCTGGTTTAGTCCTGGTTTAGTCCTGGTTTAGTCCTGGTTAGTCCTGGTTTAGTCCTGGTTTAGTCCTGGTTTAGTCCTGGTTTAGTCCTGGTTTAGTCCTGGTTTAGTCCTGGTTAGTCCTGGTTTAGTCCTGGTTTAGTCCTGGTTTAGTCCTGGTTAGTCCTGGTTTAGTAGTCCTGGTTTAGTCCTGGTTTAGTCCTGTAGTCCTGTTTAGTCCTGGTTTAGTCCTGGTTTAGTCCTGTGTTTAGTCCTGGTTTAGTCCTGGTTTAGTCCTGGTTTAGTCCTGGTGTAGTCCTGGTTTAGTCCTGGTTTAGTCCTGGTTTAGTCCTGGTTTAGTCCTGGTTTAGTCCTGGTTTAGTCCTGGTTTAGTCCTGGTTTTAGTCCTGGTTAGTCCTGGTTTAGTCCTGGTTTAGTCCTGGTTAGTCCTGGTGTAGTCCTGGTGTAGTCCTGGTTTAGTCCTGGTTTAGTCTGGTTTAGTCCTGGTGTAGTCCTGGTGGTTTAGTCCTGGTTTAGTCCTGGTGTAGTCCTGGTTTAGTCCTGGTTTAGTCCTGGTGTAGTCCTGGTTTAGTCCTGGTTTAGTCCTGGTTTAGTCCTGGTTTAGTCCTGGTGTAGTCCTGGTTTAGTCCTGGTTTAGTCCTGGTGTAGTCCTGGTGTAGTCCTGTTAGTCCTGGTTTAGTCCTGGTTTAGTCCTGTAGTCCTGGTTTAGTCCTGGTTTAGTCCTGGTTAGTCCTGGTCTGTTTAGTCCTGGTTTAGTCCTGGTTTAGTCCTGGTTAGTCCTGGTGTAGTCCTGGTTTAGTCCTGGTTTATAGTCCTGGTTTAGTCCTGGTGTAGTCCTGGTTTAGTCCTGGTTTAGTCCTGGTTTAGTCCTTGTTTAGTCCTGGTTTAGTCCTGGTTTAGTCCTGGTTTAGTCCTGGTGTAGTCCTGGTTTAGTCCTGGTTTTAGTCCTGGTTTAGTCCTGGTTTAGTCCTGGTTTAGTCCTGGTTTAGTCCTGGTGTAGTCCTGGTTTAGTCCTGGTTTAGTCCTGGTGTTTAGTCCTGGTTTAGTCCTGGTTTAGTCCTGGTTTAGTCCTGGTTTAGTCCTGGTTTAGTCCTGTAGTCCTGGTTAGTCCTGGTTTAGTCCTGGTGTAGTCCTGGTGTAGTCCTGGTTTAGTCCTGGTTTAGTCCTGGTTTAGTCCTGGTGTAGTCCTGGTTTAGTCCTGGTGTAGTCCTGTTTAGTCCTGTTTAGTCCTGGTTTAGTCCTGGTTTAGTCCTGGTGTAGTCCTGGTTTAGTCCTGGTTTAGTCCTGGTTTAGTCCTGGTTTAGTCCTAGTCCTGGTTTAGTCCTGGTTAGTCCTGGTTTAGTCCTGGTTTAGTCCTGGTTTAGTCCTGGTGTAGTCCTGTTAGTCCTGGTTTAGTCCTGGTGTAGTCCTGGTTTAGTCCTGGTTTAGTCCTGGTTTAGTCCTGGTTTAGTTCTGGTTTAGTCCTGGTTTAGTCCTGGTTTAGTCCTGGTTTAGTCCTGTTTGTGGTTGTAACCCGTGTCCTCTGTGTTGTTGTTCCAGGGCGTGTCTGTGCTCCTGATCTTCACGGTGTTTAACGCAGAGGTGCAGGAGGCCTGGAGAGCCGTGTGTTTGGGGAAGAAGGCTCCAGGAGAGGAACCAGCCCGACCGCCACAAAACACAGTGAGAATATAAGTTATATTTTATCTATATATTTACTAATTTATACAGGGCTTTATTTTATTCATCCACACCACAGTCTTGATGGTGACGTCTGTAGCCCCTTTGACCAAAGAGCCACTTCCTTATTCCAAATTAAAAACCATATTGTTTTATCAAGCATTTCACAACTGTAAGAAAGTACTTCTTCATTACTGGACAATAAAAAGTTTTTTTTAATTAGATGTAGACAGCTCACAGTGGACATATTGATCTCAAGAGGTTCTTATACAATGAATTTTGGCCCATATTATTAGCCTAATTCATCAGCCGGATTCACTTCATAGAGACTGTCTGACCTCGCAGCGTTAGGATTCGTTCGCTCGATGGTAGGCAGTAGTACTTTATTTTTTATTTAACCAATCACTGCTACAGTGATTGCTAGAACAAACCACTACAATTTAAAAGGAACCTACATGTTTAAAAAACCCAGATTCAGAACCAAGGTTATGGAGCGAAGCGTCGCTGTGAAAGGAGTGAACTTATGGAATAGTCTTGACAAAGAAATAAAAGAATCAAGTACAGTGACGACATTTAAAAAACATATAAAATCGAATGCACTGTGTCTGTATGAAAAAGAAAACTAAGTTGTGTATAATAATGAAGATTTACTGTTTGCAATTGATCAGTAAAAAAAAGGAAAAGGAAAAGTGGGCAAATAACATAAGATTTTTTCTTCTTTCTGCTCCTTTTCATTCATTTCTTGTGTGTTTGATGTTGTGACACTGTCGATGTCTTTTTATGCTTTATGAATGAAATAAATAAATAAATAAAATAATAATAAAATAATAATAATTTGGTAGTCACGTATGTAATGTACCGCTAACAGGGGTAACTGGTATATTAAGCTTTTCCCAAATCCCGTAGGAAGAAGGGACAATAACATCTTTCCCCTTGATAAAATTCACCAAACATTCTCTTTGTTCCGGCTTTAAATCCTCGATCTCGGAATCGTTGCCAACACAGAATATATGGCTCTTCGCTGACTGGCTGGTGCCCGAACTCACACTTCAGGAGTTTTTGTGAACCGTCTAGTGCAGGGGTGTCCAAACTTTTTTCATAAAGGGCCACATATGTAAACACAGATGAAGCAGAGGCCGATCGAGGGCCACAGACTGATGCTCAATACAGTGAATAATTGAAATACGTGCATGTTTAACGCATTAGAATGAACCATCAGTCTTTATTCATGCTAAGATCCTCAAAATCACACACTAAATATTCAATATTCAGCTTTATCAAGGCAGATTTTCAAAAAACTTGCAGTAAAAAAATATTTCTTAAATTGATGCAAGGTCATTTGGGCCAATTCACCTGGAAGTCTGAGGGCCAAGAAAAATTTGTCTGAGGGTCGCATTTGGCCCCCGGGCCATAGTTTGGACATGCCTGGTCTAGTGTATTCCGATTCCTGACCTAAACTGAGGCACTAGGTGGCACTAGCCTGACTACCATTTTACTCCATATTCTGATCTATTTTATAAAGTTTTTTCCTCATCAAAAACAAACCTGGAGCTGTGTTTTGTTTCATTCGCACAAATCCTGCATATTTAGGCTGAATTCTTTCCTCAGACAGAAAACACTGTTCCACTTTGCGTTGTCATTGTGTTTTTAAACTCCCTACACCTTCACTAGAATCATTTGGATGATTTTAGCCCCAGAATTGCCAGAATCTCCACTGAAGTGAAGATAAAAGGAGCTGTTCACTTGAAAACTACCATTTAATTTTGAGCTTTGGACATGTAGACAGACTAATAATCCAATGAAAATGAAAGAAAACACAACTCCAGGTTTGTTTTTATGAGGAAACAACATTCTAACATGGCTTAAAACTCACAAGAATTCATTTTGTATAATATAAAAGCTTTAAATTTACACTACATGTACATTTTTGAGGTTGCAATGCCAAATACAATTATAAAAAATGCAGGATTTAGTCACTCGGGACCCTCACCTTTTTCTGACCTCGATGATTGTGGGTTAAAACAACATCGGCTGTACCTCTATTAATATCTCCACTTTACTTCGTGCGGGATGGGGTCTATCTGGGGAGTTAAAAGTGTAGGTTTCTAGGTCTACAGTGAAGAGTTAACACTGGCCCCGGGGACAAAATGAGTGGTTTTCAGCGGTAAGAAAAGGTTCGATAGATGCGTTTAGATGAGTTTGAAAGCAAAGAGGTGGACCCGCTGTGTAAATGTAGGTCACGGAGAAGGCCCTCGAGGCAAACTGTAGATATGTAATGGACAAGAGGACAAACAGAAGAGGCAGAGACTACGCTCGCATGGAGGTAGAGAGAACAGAAGGCTAGTCATTAAAATAATTGTGTAATCTAGTTGTATTCACTTGGTCTGTTGGTTTATTCAGGGTAAGTTCAAGTAAGGGACAGTTTCACTTTCAGTTTCAGTCTCACTACATCTCAGCTGAAGTCCTGGGTGAGATAAAATGGGTGACGTACATATGACAGGTTAGACGTTTCTTTTTTTTTTCTTTTTTTTTATTAAAACAGTTGTCTATTTTTGTTTATTTATGTTTATGATTTTACTTGCTGGTTGGACATTGTACTTTGCTGTACTTTGAAATATCCAAAAGGTAATTTCACACATTTCTATGAGCATCTAGACTCAAGAACTCACTGTATCACAACAAATATCTGCATTTAACCATATTAATTTTAGCTACTCCCAATTGTAATAAAGGTGTAAACTTTTTGGTTGTTGGTCCGTCACCTGCTTGTTTCTGTGGATATCTCATTGATCTGCCTGGAATGTTCTAGCCAGATTGGTGCCACCTAGTGCATTTCATTTCTCTCCAGCGACTAGGTCAGGAATCGAAATACACTAGACGGTTTGCAAGAATCTCGGAAGTTAAAGACCATGTATTGGCCAATCAAACTCAAGCGTCTGTCTGGGTCCCTTTTATGGTACAGCACAACAGTAAACAAAGCGTCGAGATGGATGTAGACGAAGACAGACATTCTGTGTTGGCAACGATTCCCGAGATCGAAGATTTAAAGCCGGAACAAAGAGAATATTTGGTGAATTTTATCAAGGGGAAAGTCGTTATTGTCCTTCTTCCTACGGGATTTGGCGCATTACATACGTCACAACCAAACAGCAGCGATTGTTTAAATAAAAAAAGCACCCGCCTACTGTCGAGTGAACGAATCCTAATGCTGCGAGGTCAGACGGTTTCCACAAAGTGAAACCATCTGATAAATCAGGCTAGGAATGTTCTACAGTGTGACATTAAACAGCTCTACCTTACATTTATTCAATTACATGAGGCTTTATTGCTCAAAAATACCCAAAAACAGGCATTCTGACTGTGAGCTGGGTCTCCTCTCCACAGATCTGACCTGTAACTTGGTCTGGTTTGGTCTCCATGAAGATAGAAAGGTTTAATACCATACTGTGAAACATTCCAGACCCGACCCTCCACCAGAAAAGTTACACAATGCACCTTTATTGGCCTATAGGTTATTGTTGTGTCATTTAAAACCCTGCAATTCCAGCTCTGTTACCTAGAAACCAAAACGTTAACATAGTACACACCTTTTTTTTGTTAAATCAATGAAAAATTGATTCCTCGTGTGTAAATTGTCCCTTCATTTTGGATGGAATTTTCCATGTTGAGGACAAAGGGATTCAGTTTTAAAACTCTAGAGCTACTTCCTGTTTCTTTTCTTTTTTTCTTTTTTAACTTTTTCTTCCAAACTGCCCCTTAACTGATGTAAAACAATGACAAATATTTACCACAACTACTATCCCACTAAATCAAGTTATCATGAGTAAAAACATAAAACCCATCATATGCATTTTAAGTTTTGTAATCTAATGCAGTTTAAATTTCTGTATTAATAAGAGACGGTAAATGTTATCACTGTATCTTAAATGTTTTGGAGAATAACACACACATTTGTTCTGGAGATCAACATCATTTAGTTTGACTTTATTTGACAAATGATTAAAATCTGTTGTTTTCTGTTCCAGACCCAGAACCCTTATCACAACGCCTCTCTCCTGGAGCAGAGTGGGCTCCACCGAATCACCCTGGGGACCTCCACCGTCTCCTCTGTCAGCTCGGCCAGGTACCTTTTCATTCTAACTTATTTTAAGTTGTAGTAGAATTATACAAGCTGTCGAAGTTGCTGATTTACCAATAATGAATCAGTGATGTGGCAAGGCAAGTTTATTTATACATCACAATTTGTACGCAGAGTAATTCAAAGTGCTTAACAGAGTAAGAAAGACATTAAAGTCACAATACAAACAAATCAAAACATACATTATCATCATAAAATTAACATTAGAAGAGATTAGAGCCTGTAGTCTAAGTAGAGGTCTGTCTCATATCTTCTGTAAAACCAGATTTAGCTGCATAAAACTGAAATACTGACTCCCCATGTTTAATCCAGGTTTAGTTTTGGTTTAGTCCTGGTTTGGTTTTGGTTTAGTCCTGAGTCTAGGCATGCCTCATGTTTAAGCTCTGAACCTCCAGAATACAAAGGTTTGCACTGGCACTGATAACAGACTCATGTGAGGCTCTTTCTGCCCTCTGATTGGAACCAAAACATCAAATTTTAACATAAAAACCATCTCCTTCGTTTCATCTCCAGTGTTTTTGTAATTAAAAATACATCAATATTACAGTTCTTATGAGCAAAAGCTGTAATTGATTTGAACATGTTTATCTCACATCTGCGTAGAAAGGTCAGAGAGGTGATGTTTATGAAATAGAAAATCTGAATCTAACATACTGTCGCTTTAATAAACGTTTATAATAAAAACTAAAGAAGCTTGAGGCAGTGCTCCTGATTCGTCTTCTCTTGAATGCACTCGAAGTTCAGTGGGATAGGGAGCTGCAGCTGCGAACGGTTTGAAGTAACACTGTTGGATGTATTCAGAGCAACAGAAATGTCCCTACAGACAAATATATGGCCCACTGTCTGCCTGTGAAAACATAACATAACTCTAACAACATTATAACATAACTTGAAGCTCACAAGAGTAAATGTTGTATAATATAGGACCTTTAAATACATATGTTTGATTATGTTCTGCAGAGAAAACCTTCTGGCTCGACAAACGTTGGACCAGACCATCGGTCACACTGGAGCCACAGACCTGGACGTGGCCATGTTTCATCGAGATGGAGGTAAAATAGTAAAGCCGGGGTTAGTTTGTTTGTTTTGGACATGTACAGAGGACCGAGAGAGAAAAAAATGGGAAAACAAAAGAAGAGATTTATGGATGTAATGAAAGAGGATATGAAGTTTGTTGGGTTGTAAGAGAATGAGCAGAATTCAAAGTCGATTCTTCAGAAAGGAACATATTTTGAAGTATGATATGTTGCCAAAGAAATGATATACTATAAACAATGATATTGAAACACATTTTTTCATAGCTGTTTTTAGATTTAGATATTTTTGCCTGCCCCAAACTACAGACACATTAAAATTAAACCCCTCAGCCTTTTCAGCAGGTCCTGAACTATGATAGAAAATACTTTTACTTTTCAGTCCAGTTAAAAAATGTAGTGGAGTAAAAAGTACAGATACCTGCATTCAAATGTAGGGAAGTAAAAGTAAAAAGTATCCACTTTAAAATGGACTTTAAGGGAGAGTTTGGAATTTTGGACATTGGATCTCATTTTCTTGTGAGCCAGAGTGTTGGAGACGTGTGGAGGCACTTTTTTTTAAATATTCCATCCAGTCCTTGTATTTGCAGAGGTCACTGGTGCTAGGCTAGTGCATGTCAATGGCCATAGTTATCCTGACACTAAAAACAGTCTTACCCACTTCACAAAACACCCGAAGCAAATGTATTATTACACCAGTTTGTCCATGTAAATGTCTGTGTTGATAGAACATTTTGAGAAGTTAAACCAACCTTGCATTTGAAGGATTTATGTCTGAGCAGGAGTGAGTTGTACTTCCTGATAGAAATCTTGGCAGCGGCGGACTGATATATGAGAAAATAGTCCCTCAACATGTGACGATTCATGCGATGCAAGGCTAGTTTTATTTCAAATATTATTCTATCAACACAGACATTCACATCGACAGTCTGGTGTAATAATACATTTACTTCGGGTGTTTTGTGAAGTGGGTAAGACTGTTTTTAGCGGCAGGATAACTATGGCCATTGACATACACTAGCCTAGCACCAACGACCTCTGCAAATACAAGGACTGGATGGAATATTTAAAAATGCATCTCCACACGTCTCCAACACTCTGGCTCACTAGGAAATGAGGTCCTACGTCCAAAATTCCGAACTGTCCCTTTAAGTAAAGTACAGATACCTAAAATGCATACCGGTACTTCATTACCTTCCACCACTGGTCTTGGTAAATGTTACAAATGTTTTTAGGAGAGGATTCGGACTCGGACTCAGACCTCTCCATGGACGAGGACCACAGCCTGTCCATCCCGTCCTCAGAGAGCGATGACAACGTCCGACTGAGGGGGCGGATCCAGAGGAGATTCAAACGGACCAATCAGGGAGAGAGGCTGCTCACTGAGCCCGCCCACAACGGCACCAAAGGTAAAAACATGTTATAGTATAGAGTCTTTGCATATCACAGCTAATATCCAGGGTATGTGCCGTCAGTAGCTCTTGTACAGAGGTGAGTAGAGTAGCCAAACATTTTACTCAAAATAATTTTATTCAAGTAAAAGTACAAATTAGACAAATTAGTGGCCAGAGAAATTACTCAAGTAAGAATAAATTGTATTTTGGAAATCTTCTCAACTAAGAGTAACTGTTGGGACATTAGATCTGAACATTAAATCATGCACAAAATCAGGGATATCTGATAATCACAAAATGTTCTCAGTGGGAAGAATAACCAAAGCTTTTAATCGAGTGCTGTTCCTAATTTCAAAGTGGTTCAAATGGAGATTCTCAATGTCTGTACTGCCCCCTAGTGGTGTTTCAAGTACATTTTTGAACTAATGTGAGTAAATGTATTAGACCACATATATTTTGGAGGAAAAGTCTAAAAGATGTCAAATCTGAAAAATAGAAATATGAGTATGACCCGTTTTGATAGACAAGCAGTGTTTACCTGTGAAATTAAAAAATGTCTCTAAAAGAAAGGTCTTTGAGAAAATGTCAGACAGTCGATATTAGCAAATCCATATTGATCAATACTGGGCTCACGCTGCAGCTGTGTCGTGTGACCTCACAGGGAGTTCATGTGATTTTGTGGTGAAGACAGATGGTCTTTTCAGATCAATGAGCGTCTGTTTTGATTGACAGCCGACTGAGACAGACGACATTTAAAGGACAATGCTGCAAATCTAATATGAACTTACTGATTTAGTATTGGTTTGATCTGGTCCTGGTTCAGTCCTGGTTCCATCCTGGTTATGCTCATCTACCTCTGGACAAGTCCTGGTTTAAACCCAATTTATAGTCCATATATAATAAATAATAATAATAATATATTTGATTTAAAGCTCGTGTTTGGACACACAAAGGCACTTTACATTTACACTACACTTTAATCATCCACTCCACTCTTGGTAGAGCCACAGCTGCCCTGGGGTAGATCAACAGGAGTGAGGTTGCCAATCTGCACCATCGGCCCCTCCCCATATTCATTCTAGGCGATGTGAGGAAAGTGTCTTGCCTCAGGACACAATGACAGTTTGCAATAGAGTCGCTGCTGTACTAACTGGGCCCGGCCTTGCTTAGCTTCTGAGATCTGATAAGATCAGACTTTGATAGGCAGGTGTGGTTACATTTATCCATTCTATGCTTCTGTGTTGTTGTGGTGTCATTTTTGTCATTCAGCAGTAAAACAATGGTTGATGTTCAAACTCCATCCACAAGGGGTCAGCAAACTGATTAATAGATTGCACTTCAGTATTTTCCAGCTGTACCTCCTTTAGTCCTGTTTTAGACCAGGTTTAGTCTTGGTTTCACGTGGTCCATGTCTGTCCTTCGTCCCGGTTCACATTTGGTCTGGTCCTGGTTTAGTCTTCAGCCTTTTCACGTCATCTCGCCATCATCATCCTCATGAAGTCCAGCCAAGTCCTAAGTCCTGGTTTTGTTGTAGACCTGGATGGGAACGACCTGCTCTCCTATTGGCCGGCGCTGGAGCAGACCGACTCAGTGCAGAAGTGGGGCTCGGAGCGCCCCCTGGGGTCCGACGCCGCAAACAACAACAACATGGAAGCGGCTTTAACCAGTGGAGACGAGAGCGCGACGCAAGGACACAGGCATCGAAAAGGTCTGGACCTGTCAAGACTTTCCAAAACCTGGGAAAACTTTTTTGTTTTTTTCAATTTTTCTATCTTTTACCATCAGAAGCGACTTAAAATGAGTGGACAGTGTTTAGTGAAATACTTCTAGTGATTATTTTAACCCTTTTTTTTAGCTTTTATCCTTGTTAAAATGCAGAATTTTGCTTCATTCACACTTGTTTCATTAATCTTGTCAATTAGGTTGCCTTGTTCTGAGCTTTAGAAATCACTCTGTTAAAAATTTCCTCTTATTATTACGTCATAGGTAGAAATCTTTAAGTCCATAAATCATTGCATCTTTCAAGGCCAATAACAATACATAAAAAGCATAATATGTGTTCTAGTTTCTGGCTCAATGGTTTTATTGGACAGGACAGCTGTAGTGTGAAATGGGGAGAGAGAGGATAGAGACATTCAGCAAACGGATGTGGCCTGGAGGTGATCCCACAACAAGCACGGACAGGCACTGGAATATTTAACCGAAGTACAAATTCTTGAAATATTTGGATTCCAGGAATAGACCAAGACTATAAGGCAAAACAGGACTAAATTGGTCTAAACCAGGACTAAATCATGGGCCAGGACACAATATATTTGCAGAGGGATCCAAGTAAACCTAACTAAACCTTTTTTAACCCAAATCTAAATTACGTCTAGTCTAGTCTCTTTCCGATTTTTCTTACTGTTTTGGTTCAGTTACTTTTTTTCATGTATGTTGCTGTGTGCACCGGATTCTCTGTCTCTTCATAGGCCCTTTGGTCGGAACAATAACCTCGGATATAGACTGGTTTATTTCCCTGAAGACATGACTGAAGGGCAGTTTTTAATCACCACGTTTCACTGGAAAACCCCAATACTCTGGACAAACATAAAGCGGGACACAGCCAGTACAGCCTGCCCCCGTGCCTCTACTTAAGTTGTATCTGCGCAGTTTGATTTAACGGTCTCAAAATCCACTACAAATCGCTCTTTGGTTGCTTTGACACAACGTCGTGTTGAAATTCCAAATGTGGAACTTGGCTCAAAATTTGCTGTAACTGCTACCCTTGGTGAGCTTCATTTGACTGGACACAGTTTCTTATTCCACTTTTTCATATGGTCTGTGCTGCCTGCAGTATTTGCTGGCCGTATAGTAAGAGTGAGAGAAACTTGTGCAGGTTAAAGGTGCACTGTGTAACTTTCTGGTTGGGGGTCCATCATGTTAGCCTGACTCACTTTGTGGAAACCCTCTGACCTCACAGCATTAGGCAAGGCAAGGCAAGTTTATTTGTATAGCACAATTCGTACACAAAGTAATTCAAAGTGCTTTACAGAATAAGAAATACATTAAAATCATAATAAAAACAAATCAAAACATAAATAATCATGAAGATTAAAATTAAAAAAAAAGAGAGACATAAATTGGAGAGAAGAATAAGGAATGAAAACCTTTCAGTTATTATGCACAGTTAAACAGAAATGTTTTGAGCCTGGATTTAAACAGCGTCACAGAAGAGTCTGTCTCACATGTTCAGACTGTTCCAGGTTTTAACTGCATGAACCTGAAACTCTGACTCCCCTTGTTTAGTCGTGACTCTGGGCACCAGCAGGAGGCCGGTCCCTGAGCTCCTCAGAGTGTGAGATGTTCATATGACACTAACATGTCACAGATGGACTTTGGTGCTCGGCCATGGAGAGACTTGTACAAGCAGAGCTGCTTTAAAGTCTCTGAGGCACAGGAGCCAGTGCAGAGACCTGAGACCAGGATTTATGTGCTCGTACTTCCTAGTTCGAGTCAGGACCCGAGCTGCAGCGTTCTGGATGTTCTGGATGTTCTGGATGTTCTGCAGCGTCTCACAGCTCGTTTGGAGAGACCAGTGAGCAGAACATTACAGTATCTAATCTACTGGAGACAAACGCATGGATAAGTTTCTCCAAGTCTGATTTAGACAGTAAACCTTTGATTTTCACTATGTTTTTTAGATAGTAAAAGGCTGCAGATGTTATTGATTTGATGTGGCTGTTAAAGTTCAAGTCTGAGTTCATTATTACCCTGAGATTTCTTGCCTGATTTGAAGGTTTTAGAGAGAGAGACTGGAGGTGACTACTGACACTGTCCCTTTGTTTTTGTGGACCAAACACTATGACTTCAGTCTTGTCAGAGTTTAACTGGAGAAAGTTGTTTTGCATCCACACACTGATCTGTTGGATGCAGTGACAAAGTGAGTCCACTGGTCCATAGTCCATTAGAATTTGTTCGCTCAACGGGGGGCAGGTATTTAATTTAAAAGTGAAAAAATGCATAGCACACTCATATGGCCGATGTCCAAAAGCTTTTTTTATTTAAAAAAAAAAAAAAAAGCTTAAATAAAAAAGCTTTTGGACATCGGCCATCTGAGTGCTATGCATTTTTTCACTTTTGTCTGGCTACTCCTTGCATTTGTGCCTCTACAAGAATTTTGGTGTGCGTCTTCTGTCTCTTTTGACTTTAAATTTAACCAATCATTGCTATTTGGTCATAACGTCTGTAACCCAAAACATGCTACAGGTCTCCAAGAGCAGTTGGTAGTAAAGGTCAGTTAAATACAGTCAATTCAATGAATCTGCCCAGGTGCTACAGGTAGAAATTAGCACTGATGCTACAACCTGATGTACAGTGCAACTCTCCTGTTAAGGTTAATGCAAAAATGTGTGCTGTCCCTGTCTCAGATAAATAAATAAATAAATAAATAAATAAATAAATAATGTGCTGGAACACATGCACAAAGTAATTGCCAGGCTGGGACAAGAGCAAATAAAGCAGAGAGTGAACATGTCTGCCAACGATCATTTTCATATCTGCGAGATGAACTTGCAAATTCATGGTACAATAAAAAATGTGAATTTTGTATTTGACAAAGGAAGTCCAAAGGAGGATAGTATAAACAGTCTGCTTTCTCAGCTCGGGTTGGTTCTGCTCTTCACTGATTGGCGGTTGCTCGGTCTACAACTTCCGGGGTTCTTGCAAAACATCTAGTGTATTCCAATTCCTGACCTAGTCGCTGGAGAGAAATGAAATTGAGCGGAGGCACTAGGTGGCTCCAGCTTGGCTACCATCATGTGCTTGTTTCTATAGATATGTCATTGCTCTGCCTGGAATGTTCCACAGTATGACATTAAACAACACTATCTTACTGTTGCACCCCCGAAATGAACGACAAGACTCGCGTTCATTTTAGCTTTTTGGGCAGATTTAATTTTAGATTTCGGTTCATGTTTTAACAAGTATGTTTCGTTTCTCTGCCTCTTTTTTTAACAACGAAGAAGAAAATGCTTTTCCCATAAATCTTTTAGTCTCACATTCTTAAAGTAACAGTACAGTAAATACCCTGTTATTATATAGGTACAATGAAATCATAGAACAAAGAATATTATCAATGAAGTATGTATTTATATCAAATGAAAATTATTTTAGCTATTCAAATGAAACATGAATTTAGTCTTATGAATTTTATAACAGAAATATTGCATTTTAATTTTCAGGGCACTACATTACATTTATTCAATTACAGGTGGTTTTGTGGCATTCTGACTGTGAGCGGGGTTGCCTCTCCACAGATCTGACCTGTAACTTGGTCTGGATTGGTCTACGTGAAAATAGAAAGGTTTAATACCATAGTGTGAAATAGTCCAGACAAAGCATTAACGTCTCCATGGAGATTGGACCCAGATTCAGTTGTGATTGTAAAACCTTTGTAAAGCTAAAGAGTGCGGGCTAAATACAGAACCTTTAATGCAGTTTTTTTTTTCTCCTCAGGGATCTTGAAGAACCGCCTGGGCTGCCCCCCCACCCTCCAGGGCCTGTCCTCGATGGGGCGTGTGCCGAGCGAGCTGAACTGGTACCGGACCTCCACTCTGGGTCACCGCGGGGTCCCAGCAGCCTCCTACGGCCGCATGTACTCCGCTACGGCCAACGCTGCTAACTCTGCGAACACCGGCTCTCTCTCCCAACCCGCCTCCCGCTACTCATCCAGGGAGCACTTGGACTCTCTGGCTCGGAGACAGCTGTCCAGGGACCCTTTAGGACGGCAGACTGTGGGCGGGTCCCGGGACAGGCTGGACTCACGGGGGTCCAGGGACAATCTGGATCTGCTCCCCCGAAGACGTGAGCTCAACTTGGGCCACAACACTCTGGGAAGTCTGGGGTTGGAAAGATCGTCCAGGGAGAATCTGTCAGCGTCGCGTGACAGACTGGACAACCACCACGCTTCCAGAGAGGACTTGGGGGTGGATGGGTACCTGGGCGGGTTGAATAGGAGGCACACGGCGTCGAGGGAGCATCTAGGGGGCGCTGTGACGAGCAGTAGGTCCAGGGAAGGGCTGGACCAGAGCAGGGAGTGGTTGAGAACGCTGCCCCCGAGACAGACTTCGCACCCGGAGCCACCCCTCTCCGCTTCACCCCCTCCTCCCATCACAGAGGAGCAGGACCAGCCGCCACCACCATGTGAGTACAGAGAATATTACACATGAATATGTTTAAAGGTCCTATATTACGCAAAATTTACTCTTGTAAGCTTTAAACCATGTTAGAATGTTGTTACTTCACCATAAACATACCCAAAGTTGTGTTTTGTTTCAGTCACACATGTTTGAGTAATAGTCCAATGAGGTTTATTTGGTCTTTTGATAATTTTTGTTATTAGGTTCTTTTTTCAGACCAAGAGTTTCTTTTCATACCTGACAGTTTCAACTGCTCACTAGTGGTCTTCCTCAGAGTCGCGTGATGTTGTCCAGACAAACATCATTGGGACAGAGGAAAACAAACATCGTTGCTGCATTAAAGAGGCAACTGAAATATGGAAACGTGCCCACGGGACTATAAACCGGGACGAGGGGGCTTTTTTACTCTCACACACCTGGGATACTGTCCTGAGGAAGTCGGACTGTAGATGGCGCTGTCGTCCTGCCTCCACCGGTAGGAAGAGGGCGCCAGAATCTGTTTAAATCAGCTGAGCGATACGTCACAGCAACATCACGTGACTCTGAGGAAGACCGCAGGGAGCAGTCGAAACTGTCAGATATGAAAACAAACTCTTGGTCTGAAAAAAGAACCTAAGTAACAAATGTTTGAGTAATCCTTTATTATTCATAGGTCTACAGCTCCCAAACTCAAAATGCTCTGTTCCACCTTGTGATGTCATGAAGCGTTAGTTTTCAAGTTAACAGCTCCTTTTATATTTAAGTCAACAGAAACTGGCAATTCCACAGATGAAGTTACTCAGATGAGTCTAGTGAAGGTGTATGGCGTTTAAAAACACAATGGAGCACTTCCTGTATTACCACATGACATCACAATGTAGAATAAAATGTTTTCTGAGGAGAACTCAGTCTAAATATGCAGGGTTTCTGTGTTAAACGTGTGAATGAAACAAAACACAACTCCGGGTATGTTTGTGATGAGACACAAACAACATTATAACATCACAAAATAGCGTAATATGGGCCCTTTAAAATATTAAAGGTTAGTGTTGTCACAATACTAAAATTTTTATTTGTCACAATACAAAAATATCAAGCTCGATTTCGATATTAAATAGAGATAGACCAATATAGCTGACCTGCTGCCTAAAGAGTACACTTAAAACCTTATTTGAGCACTTGACTGTGAAACGTTACCTGCAGAAAACCTGACTACACAACTTTCTTATGGGCTTATGATAAAACAGGGCTGTGGGTGAGGTTGTAGTCATTTAAATTGGAGTAATAATCGTCCCAAAAATATGGGCAGAGCTCGTCAGTTTCTCTGGATGTTATACAATGGTAAAAAAAAAACAAAAAAAAAACATATTGGTCAATTTCTAATACTAAGGAATAGACTCGATACTCAATACTGATTCCGATGCCACAGTGATAATTAAAAAACACTCTTACTTTAGACAATAGAATGAGATTTTCAACATTAAATCAGAGTACTTTTTTATATTTCCGTGTGGCTTTTTATCTGCGTAATCCCTCAGTCGTCTAGTAGGTTCCACAGTGGTCCATGGGCATAAACTAGTATAAAAAAAAACTCTTTATTTAAACAATAAAATGTGATTTTCAACATTAAATTACTATTCCACAGTGGTCCATGGGTGTATATTAGTCTTTGTGCTGTTGTACTTGTTCTGATGCAGCTCAAGATCATCCAAAAGTGATTCAGGAAAGGTTCATTTCTGTCCTGTGAATGTGACTTTTTTTAGTATCGATAAATGCTCAACTGAGTATCTAGTTTAGCGTTTTATCCAAACTAACCCTTATTTTGCTTTGCATGATTTATGGTGTGCTCCCTCCACCCCCACCCCTTCCTGTTACTGTATAAAAATCCTTGCCGTGTAACCCATAAAGCGCCTTGTTACCTCCCAGGCCCCTCTCTGGATATCCTCTCCTCCATCTTGGCCTCGTTTGGCTCCACTGTTCTCCCCGAGACCAACAGTGTCTCTGAGCTCTGTTCCCACTCGGAGTAAGTCCAATGTCCCCAGCACGAAACCGCTCCTGTCTCTCCTGTCCTCGAGTCCTTTTGTAGACACTGCTTTCTCCCTTCTTCTTCTTCTTCTAGTAGTTTAGTTACTTCTCTAGTCTTGTATGTCCTATCTCTGGAATTCCTTCTTTTCTATAGAAACGTAAAACTGTGTGTTCTAAAATGTCTTTTAGTTTCACATTCTGCAGAGCTGTTTCTTGTAAAGTATGGTTTTAACTTTCTATTTCCATGGAGACTGGCCACCTTCAGAAAAAACACATACTGTACCTTTAAAGGGCCCATGTTACACTACTTTCTGATCTGTTTTAATGTTGTTTCCTCATCAAAATTATACAAGGGGTTTTGTTTTGCTTCATTCACACAAACCCTGCATATTTAGACTGATGAACTGGATGATTTCAGACCTGGAATTACCAATCTCTACTGAACAAAAGATGTTAACTACCACTACATGACATCACAAAGTGGAACAGAGCATTTTGAGCCTGGGAGATGTAGACAGGCAATAATAATGGGTTACTCGTTTCATTCGCACATGTTTGAAGGAGTTCAAGTATCTCGGGGTCTTGTTCACGAGTAAATGAAGGATGGAGCGTGAGATTGACAGGTGGATCGGTGCAGCGTCGGCGGTGATGTGGTCGCTGTATCGGACCATTGTGGTGAAGAGGAGCTGAACCGAAATGTAAAGCTCTGGATTTATCAGTCAATCTTCATTTCTACCCTCACCTATGGTCATGAGCTCTGGGTAATGACCAAAAGGACGAGGCTACAAGCAGCCGAAATTTGTTTCCTACGCAGAGTGGCTGCGTGCTCCTTTAGAGCTCAACCTCACAGCAGGCGCTCGGAGTAGAGCCGCTGCTCCTCCACGTCGAGAGGATCAGGCTGAGGTGGCTCAGGCATCATGCCCAGAACACCGGCCTCAGGAGGAAGGAGGCGTCGAGTTAGACCCAGGACACGCTGGAGGGACTATGTCTCTGGGCTGGTCTGGGAACGCCATGGGGTCACACCAGAAGAGCTGGAGGAAGTGTCTGGGGAGTTTGGGAGTCCCTGTTTAGACTGCTGCCCCCACGACCCAGCCCTAGATAAGCAGAAGAAAATAGATGGATGGATGTTTGAGTTAAACATATGCGAATGAAAACAAAACACAACTCCAGGTTCTTTTGAGGAGGTAACAACATTATAACATGACTTAAAGCTCAGAAGAGTCAGCTTTGTGTAATGTAGGCTCTCTAAAACGGTTTTCTTTCATAAGTTAATACTTTTCTCTTTTGCTTAAAGTTGCAGTGTCAAATTTTACTGTTGGGAAAAATCAAGTTGATTAAAACATAGGCTAATGAGTCTCGATTTGTGAAGTACTTCATTCAAATTTTCCTCTGTCACCACTAGATGTCACCAAAGCACACACTGCACCTTTAATGCACATAGTGACTTTTGTACTTTACTAGTAGTAGAAGTAGTACTATATTCTATTTTTCAGTATTTTCTACTTTCCACGTGGCGACCAAATATGCTATAATTTACTTTTTCTCTCTTTCAGAGCCCACAGAAGTGATGGACAGTCCTAATTTCTTGCCTTTTCCCTTTACCTTTTGGGATAAATATGGATTGGACTTTTTAGAGGAAGGTCACCTGACTATCCTGAAGCACTGATGCATTCTGGGAAACCGAGTCCTTAACCAGAAGTCAACAAACAATAACCTTACGGGACAAACCAACCTGTTACTACCTACAAACTTGACCAGAGCACACCCAGATTTGGAAACGATGTTGTAAATAACATTTTTATACGTTTTTTAACTTTTTCATTGGAGACTGGGGTTAAAAATCTCCTGTGATTTTTTTTTTTTCATTTGAGACATTTTGGTGGCAGCGAGTGAAGTGTTAGTCAATTTCAGGAGAGACAACTTTGTTTCTCCTTTAAATAAATGAAGAAAAAAAAAGAAAATTCAAAATGATGATTGAAAATGTCCTCTGCCCTTTAAGATATCTGTCACAGCGCAAGGGAACAGCCAATGAAGATTTAGAATGGAAATATCAACGACGTGATTGTAAATACAGGACCCAGCTCCACTACAGTAATGAACAACTTGAATGTGAAAAGAGTAATTTTGGATTCACGAAATTTTCTTGCTTTGAGTTTTGCATATTTTAATATCATCTTATCCAAATGTCAAAAAACATATTGAAATTTTTTTTTTTACTTTGTTGGATTTTTTTTTTATTGTGATTTAATGTACCCCAAAATGTCACTTAATCCAATGGACCATCCCACATTTATGGCCTTTATGAACCATGCACCTCATATACGAATAACAGTGTTAAAATCCTTCAAAAGCTGGTAGAAAAAGATACACATCCGTAGTAGAACATCATTAAAAATATGCTCTAAGAAGTTATAATTATTAAAATCCCTGGGACAATTTAATGAATGGGCATTTTCTCAGTAATTCACATTTTAAGGTCTTACGTTTCCTGCTTCACTGTCAAATAACAAAATGATATGTACAAACTTGATAAACCAAATCTTTTTTTTTATTTTTTATTTATCTTACATGACCTGATCCAGTGTTTTACTTTTCACTTTTGTAATGTATGTATTTTTTCCGTATTCCTATCATGTACAGAGTAAAGATTATTTAGAATATTATTTATTTATTTATTTATTTATTGCCTATTTGTACACGATTTTTTATTTATTTATTTTCTATGAAATTCTACTTGTTATGGTACTTTGACTTTATTTGAACAAACTTGGGTTTGGGAGAAATGATGATTATTATGGGATGGTGCTGTTCCCTGACGCCTCAAAAACAGAGATTAAAATGTTCCCACAGAATTCTGTTTTGTGTCATGAAAAAGATGATTTGGGAGAGAAGCAGAAGTCCTTTTGAGTCTAACATGTATAAAGTAGAGCTGGACGATCCAGCTTTTTCACCTCCGATACTGATACTAAGGTTTTAAGTATCTGCCAATACTCAACCGATACCAGAGACTGAAAATATACTATTTACCTAAAAACAAAAATATAGTCTGTCAGAGTTGTGTAGCTCTTATTTATCTCTCTAAGTAACAACAGAACAGTTTAGTATCAAAATTTCAAACATTCTGAGACTTTCTGGACCAACTACAACCAGTAAATTAACTCAATTTTTCTGCTCAACCAGGACCTGAGCAAATTTTGAAGAAACGGCGCTGATATTTGATACCAGTATCAGATCAGTGCATCTAATAAAGTTTGAATAATATACTCCAAATACAGTATAAAGAAAACGTCAAAATAAGATAACATTCCCCATTCCTTTATTTTATTTGGAGACATAAAGAAGTGGCCTGTTTTCTTTTAATTCAGTCTGCTACAGAAAATGGTTGCTTCTTTTAATATATATCTAACATTGATAGATTAGCCAAGGAGGTTTGTTTAAAGGTGCATTGTGTAACTTTTCTGGCTCGTCAAATGCTTTTCCCCATGAAGACTTTATTGCTTTGTCTGGAATGTTTCACAGTATGGTGTTAAACCTTTTAATCATAATGGAGACCAAACCAGACCCAAGTTACAGGTCAGATCTGTGGAGATGCAACCACCCCACTCACAGTCAGAATTCCTGTTTTTCTAGGTATTCTTCAGCTATAAAACCACCTGCAATTGATTAAATGTAAGGCAGAGTTGTTTAATGTCACACTGTGGAACATTCCGGGCAGAAACAGGTGACGGACCCCAACCAAAATGTTACACAGTGCACCTTTAATCATAATCAGGAGTGAAATGTTGGATAGGGCACTAGATTGCGATGCTGTTCTCCACATTGGAGGGGAGGAGGTAGGTGTACGGCACTGGGAGCCCTTTGTTCCTCTCTGTGATGGCCTCCTCCAGAAAAGACAGTTCAGCCTGAAACGCCTCGATCATGTGGATCACAGCTGGATCATCGAAACGCTCGTCCGTGTACGTGCCCAACTGAGTCTGCACAGGTCAAAAACACACTCCAGGTCATGTTGACACAATACGCAACATACAACAGAACGTACTTACCTGCAGCAGAAAAGGGTTTGAGTTGTGTGTGTGTGTGGGAAGTGGGGGTACAAAATACTAACCGCATCTGAATATGTATCGCTCAGGACCCAGGCGATGGCGGCAAACTTGGCAGTGTCTCCCACATTGGGCAGAGCGTCCAGGAGCGTCTGTGTGGAGGACTGGCCTTTGGTGGAGGGGGGACGACTCACCAGGAGCAGGCTCGCGTTGGGAATCCAGGACTGATAGTCAAACTGCAAAACATTATGATTATATTAGTGTATAGAATCATTTCTTTAGTGGTGTTGCTACAGCTCGTGTCACGTCATTATGCGCTCACATGGATGATGGAACTTGAGAAGGAACTGGCTTATTTAACATCAAAATTAATTAGAAGATGAGTATTTAAAATAAGCGACAGTGGTCACCAGAGGAGACGTTTATGTTTTGAAAATCTAACTTGTACTATAAGCACAAATCTAAGAGAAGAACCAGTCCTATACTGCCCCCTTGTGGAAAGGTTTCAGTGTTACAATAAGATATAAGAAGGATATTTCAAAATCATTGAAAGTTATAGAAACTGAAGAAGGTGCTGGAGCTCAGATGTTTCTATGAGCCGTACTAGAGACTGACCTGACCACCGTTGACTGCCGCGTGTTGGGCTGAGGCAGTGAAGATTGCCATGGTGAGGAACTTGACCAGATCCTGCACAGAGTCGAAACTCTGAGGAATACCTGTGGATGAAGTCTTCAGTGTCAGACTGTGGTCTGTTTGAACAAACAGGGTCTGCTGCGGAGAACAAAACCCACCTGATGCTTTGTTTTCCAGAAAGCCATGGGTGAAAATATCACTGATCCAGTTCTGCAGCTCTGAGTCTTTGTACACATCTGTGTTTGAGGGGTAGTAGTGCTCCACCACGGACTGCACGAAGCTGGAGACAAGAGGATTTATTCATTTATATGGACACTGCACATAGGCTTAATGTGCTATAACTGCTGTCATCTGGAGAAGTGGTTTCCAACTGGTCAAGTTGTCTAAAAGTTTAAATAAAATCGTAAAAATCTCAAATATACACTTCTTTTAGAAACACTGCAATTGCTGTGGTCACTAATGACCACAAGACCAACCATTTTATTTAATTTTGTTTTTGAATCACTTTCAAAAAGGCTCCAGGGGAAATTTATGGGGAAATTTATGGGGAAACTGGTTGTTTTCGTGTAAACCTCAAATCGTGATTTTTACATTGTTCTTCATGTACATTGTAAATTTCTTTTCCCATTGGAATAGAATAGAAATGAAAACCTGTTTATAATGGCCCAGAGCCTGAGGCCATCATCTCTGTAGTAGAAATTCGGCACAGAGTCCAGCCCCCGAGAAGAAATGTTTTCCGGCAGACAGAGGGCGCTGTAGGTCAAATCTGACAGACACCTCTTCATCAGCTCCACCAGGCCTGCTTTCCCTAAAGAGGTCTGTGAAAAAACACGTCTTTAGAACAGCAATATCCTGGTTTAAAACATAAAGAGGAAGATTTGAGCCTCACCAATGACAAAATCGCATCAAACAAAAAGCCGCGTGATTTGATGTTCATCGGGATAGTGTCTCGGAAGTGTGGTATGAGGAGCTGCACATACAGATACAATGAGTCTACAAAAAGATGTTTCCTTCCCAAAATGAACCACAATAATCTAAGAAGAGAGAACCACATGTTACCAAATGTTAAAACAATGAAATATATGAAACCTGAGCCTCTCCCTTTTTCACCGCCCTGTTCTCTCCAGACATTATGTGACATGACGGAAACGCTGACGATGGCCTTCACTAATGTTCTGCAGCTGTTTGGAGCTTTATTACATGTTATGTTTGGTTAAAGGAAGATGGGTTATTTTCAAATATTTCTTCAGCTTATTGGTTCATGGATTTCCACTTTTGGCAAACATTTTAAATGAGTGGATTATTACATGTTGAGTCTCCTGCGACTAAAACAAACACTGGTTACAGTAAAGTAGTTTTTTCAGGCAGCAGTGAGAGATGTACCTTGTAGATGGGGTGCACTGTTGGGAGGTGGCGGAGCATGGCTACGGTAAAGACCTCCACCAGCAGATGTGTGTTCATCAGGTGATGGACAGACTGGTGCTCCATTATAACTGCATTATTGATGAACATCTTGGCCAGCAGCCAGTCGGTCTCCGAATCACTGGGCAGGAAGATCGGGTTGTCCTCTGCAGGTTTTTGGTACAGCTGCAGGCACCGCAGATGAAGACATGATGTTGTTTGGACAGTGTAACTCCATCTCACCCACACACAAGTTAAACATGTGTAGCAGCATGAATGTGCATGTTGTGGTAGTTTAAAGGTTGTATAGAGGATTTTTTAAGGGAAGTGAAATACAGCGACAGTCCTTTTTCAAATGTTGCGCATGCATGACACCACCTTCCTCCTCCACAGCTCCCTCAGTAGAAACACCTCCTCCCGCCTCTTTACTCTAGAAATCACGCTTGTTTACATCCAGTGCGTGTTCAGAATTACCGTTGAAGTGACCTGTCTAGAAATAATTTAGCGACCGACGCGTCTTTAGTTTTTAGACCCTTCGTCTGCTTCATTCGCGCCGTCGCTGGAAGGAATCTCCAAAAATCACCTCAGTTTGTCTTCGCTCCCTTTCCCCTTCTCTTCTTCTTTCAGCGACTTTCAAAAACGGACTTTCTTTGGCGGCGAACCGGTCGTGGATTCTCGTCCGCCATCTTAACAAACTTTGTGCGATTTGTGAGGAAGCGACAGTTTGAAAAAGCCTCTAAGAACCGCTGCATAAACCACATAATCCCCGCGCGCCGACGAGTCAGTTACACTAGAAACGTAGGGAGTTTGATTGACGACCTAACAGCCAATAGATAAAGAGGCAGCCTCGTTTTCTATTGGCTGATGTTTATCTGGCCTCAACACGTCCACAGTTGATAGATTTTTTTTTTTTGGGGGGGTCATCGTAATTACAAAGCTTCTGCGTCTCTCTAATGGTATTTTAAACTTTTGATGACAATTTGAAACAAAAAAAAATCCTCCATACAACCTTTAATTGCTTGCCATCCAGGGACGTCTGACCCTAAGAAGAATCATTAGAGTTTTGACCTCTGACCCTTCTACTTACCGGTCTGTGGCAGTGGAGCTACGCCTGAAGCATCAAGAAGAGCAAGTAAAACCAACACTAAAGTCTGTAAGAGATTTTTGACTATTGAACTGTTGAATTGTTCGCTCTACTTCCAACATATCTTATAGCACTTGGATTAAGTTGCGTCTGACGGGGACCTGTGAAAACTCTGAATGACAGGATAAACCCGCGTGGAACACTCCGGTTCAGTGGAAGAGCCAGGGCCAGAGTGTTGCAGTTAAAGAGTTTATATTTTATTACTGCTGCTTTGAAAACCACATGTTATTATCTCATATGCCCCAGTTGGTCTTTCAGTCTGAGCTCATGTTTACAGTCACTTTTATTTAAGTCACACACTGTAACACATAACCCTGTGGACGGTGGGAACAGGCCAACATGAGCCTGGAGACGCAGGGCCGACTACAGACTGAGGGAGGCAGTAGGACAGGGATGTTAGCGCCTGACATCAGGACAGTGCACAGAGAATCTCACGCACCTGAGCCCACCCTCAAAAAAACCATCAGTGTAAGAGGGACTGGCTGGTCAGACAAGAACTGTGTACTCTCCACACTGTGAGAGGAACTGTGTACCTGGATTGCGATGGGCTTGAGCTGCTTCTGCGAGTTCACGTAGAGCAGACACAGACCGGGCGTCACATGCAGAGGTCTCTCGTTGTAGGTTCTTGGGGAAATTCCCTCAAACTTCTTTGCATCATAAATGAAGATGTTACCTGCCTATCAATCACAATAAACTAAAGTTAGACAGTATTAACCTGCTGTACACCAGTGTAGAACCAGTGACATTTTATAATTATGTCTCTATGGATGAAAACCGCATTTGCCATTGAGTTCGTAGATATTCACAAGTATTGGCCCCAGTCGGTGTCTACATTAGTCTGAGTCAGCACCTTTAACTCGGTCTTCAGGGTGTGGCCTTCATCCAGAAAGGGCTGGACCATCTCGTCGGTCACAGGAAAGTTCTGTGGAAGCTCCTGGCACCTCTGGATCGACATGGGGTTGAAGCCGTTCAAAAACTGTGAGCCGTAGAAGTCGTCTTCTTTCCAGTGATCAGCCACATACTCTGCAGAAGGAGATGTGAGGGAGTGTGACACAGACACACAGACACACACACAGACACACACAGACACACAGAGACACAGACACACAGACACACAGAGACACACAGACATAAAGAGACACAGACACACACACACAGACACACAGACACACACAGACACAAAGAGACACAGACACACACACACAGACACACACACAAAGACACAGACACACAGACATAAAGAGACACACAGAGACACAGACACACACAGACACAGAGACACACAGAGACACACACACACAAAGACACAGACACACAGAGACACACACAGAGACACACACACAAAGACACAGACACACAGAGACACACACAGAGACACACAGAGACACACACACAAAGACACAGACACACAGAGACACACACAGAGACACACAGACACACAGAGACACACACAGAGAGACACAGACACACAGAGACACACACAGAGAGACACAGACACACAGAGACACAGACACACAGAGACACACACAGAGACACACAGACACACAGAGACACAGACACACAGACACACAGAGACACAGAGACAGAGACACACAGAGACACACAGACACACACACACACACAGAGAGACACACAGACACACACAGAGAGACACATAGACACACAGAGACACAGACACACATAGACACACAGAGACACAGACACACACACAGACACACACAGAGAGACACAGACACAGACACACACAGACACACACAGAGACACACAGACACACAAAGAGACACACAGACACACACAAACACACACAGACACACAGAGACAAACACAGTGACACACACAGAGACAAACACAGTGACACACACACACACAGACACAGAGACACACAGAGACAGAGACACACAGAGACACACAGACACACAGAGACACAGACACACACAGAGAGACACAGACACACACAGACACACACAGACACACACAAACACACACAGACACACACAGACACACAGAGACAAACACAGTGACACACACAGAGACACACACACACACAGACACACAGAGACACACACAGAGACACACACAGACACACAGAGACATACAGAGACACACACAGAGACACACAGACACACACACACACACACAGACACACACAGAGACACACACAGACACACACACAGACACACAGAGACACACAGAGACACACACAGACACACACAGACACACACAGACACACACACAGAGACACACAGAGACACACAGAGCACTGTGTACCTGATATGGCTGTCTTCTTAAACCAGAAGATGTTCTTCATGTCCTCCTCCTTCTCCCATCGGTCTTGGGATCCCAGCAGACCTTTGATCTTCAGTTCTAATCCTCTGACATTTCAGAGACAGAGTCAGAGTCCTGCAGTGCGTCTGTGTTCTAACGCACGTTTGAGACTATGTGTTTGTAATGAACTAGTTTCTTTTAGGCCAGAACACTCATGAAAAAGATCTCAAAGGGACTTTTCCTGGTTAAATAATAGTTACATAAATAATGTTTCTCCACATTTCCTGGGGGGTCACTCAGAGTCTCACTGCCGTCCTTTAAATCTACAGCAGGGGTAAATGTTCCAGTGACTGTTTCAACTAATTTCTCAAGCATCTGAATCAAGGAAGTCCATATATAATCACTTACAAGATGATTTCTGAAATACTTTTACAAGAGCCACACTACTTATGTTTCATCTTAGTGACTTTGTGCACTGGTTGGGCCAAGAGACTCACATAAAGGTTCGGCTTTGGTCGGACTCAGCCTGACGGACCGCAGACCTCTGCAGTTCCAGGGGGAGTTCCTCGGTGGTCTCATGCTGACAGCAGTGGGGCAGTCCCTCTTTAAACACAATGAAGCTGCACAAACACAAGGACAAGAACAAGGTTATATCAGAACCACACCCACAGAGGCCAGTGCCAGTGCTCCATTGTGTTTTTAAAACTCCATGCACCTTCAGTATTATTTAGATGAATAAAACGAGCTGTTAACTTGAAAACTACCACTTCATGACATCACAAGGTGGAACAGAACATTCTTAGTTTTAAAGGGTTACTCAAACGTGTGTGAATGAAACAAAACATAACTCCGGGTATGTTTTTGATGAGTTAACAGCATTATAACATGGCCAAAAGCTCATAAAACTCAATTTTACCAAATATAAAAAGCAAAGTGAATAAATGTTAAAAAAAAAAAAATAAATAAATAATTGACAATAAACTGGAGCAGTGTTGTGTTATTTGTAGTTTTAGCCACGTCTCATAGCAGAACAAACTTTGAATTACTGAACTTCTTTTTGTGAATTGCTATGATCGACCTTATGATTAAAAAGTATCATTCAGGTACAATTTAAATGTCATTATTAAGAAAATATCCGTAATCCCTAACCCTGCCCCAGTGCTCCCAGGAGAAGCAGCTGGGGTAACAGGCTTTAGCAACTGGGAGCAGGAATGGTACTTTTCTGTTGCCTGGAATACATACTTTGTCAATACTTTAAGAAAATGTGCGTATGGTCACTACACTGTTAGTATCGAGGAAAATAAAGGGAAAAACTATTATCCTAAAGGGACTGAAAAACATGCCTGCAGAATTATGTGTCACAGAAAAAAACTATTTAACTGGATGATCATGTTTGACCGGGTATGAGACACAACAGAAGGGGTGGGGATAAAACTGATAACCATTTGTTTTTTTTTTTTTTTTTAAAACATTGTGTCATTGTGGATTTGTCAGGCAAACATTTCTGACTTTGGATTATATGTTTTGCATTGAGGATTTTGGTTGAATGCAATTTTACAAAGTGAAACAGGCAACAGGATTATTGCATGTTCACTTTTCATTGCATTTGCAGAGTTAAGAACTATTACCCAACCATCTGTTTCAGAGTAGATGCCCAGTATAAAGTGAGGTATTTGATCCAGGGTCAAGTTCCAGTCTTGTCTGGGTCTGGTGTAGTTCTGGTCCTGGGTCAGAACTTACTAGAAGCACTCCTTTTTCTCTGTCATCTCTTGTTTGCGATGAGCCTCAAGCAGAGGATGGTTTTCCTCAAACACCTTTGTGGCTGTATCACAAAACACATGTTTATGTATTATGTTATAATAATATTTTAATATGTGTAATCGAACACATGGACCCACTGGAGCCGGTCTATTAATCATATTATACTCAGTCCAACGGCAAAGAAGGTTGAAATTGTACAATACAGTCATCCAATGACACTAAAACTCACGTGTGGCTTTACGCAGCTCCACGCGCTCCCCTCTGGAGATCCAGCGGTAACAGGGAAACAGCTCTGTGGCGCCCTCTGGCGTGCTCACGCGCACACTGCGGCAGTACCACTGGTTCTCAGGCAACAGGATCAGGGCCTCTTTATCCAGTCGCACCAGCAGCAGAGAGCCCAGGGAGGAGGGAGTTTTCACAGTGTATGTCCTGCTCTGCACACAAAATGTTTTATGTCTTTATTTTATAGACATAAAATTCACAATTCAGTTCCTTTTTTGTCATTTTCATATAAAACAACAACTAAATTATGCTAGAGCATCAAACAAACTGCATAGTGTATTAAAAGTGCATAACAGTGTAGAGCACCCACCCCTTTACACCCACCACGTAAACATTACACCCACTATGTAAACATCAGAATATGATACTAGTAATAATATCAGTGCATAAATAGACTGTAGTCCTCTCTGAGCCTGGACCTTTGAGCACGACTCACTGTAGCGTAGGAGTCTCCAACCCGTTTCCTCTGGTGGGCACCTTTTCAATACAAAACTGCCAGAGAGCTACTCATTTTAGTGGTCGCAAGAAACAGAGTAAATATATTAGATGGGGTACGGTTTGAGGACTTTAAAGCAATTACACAACTATTATCTATTTATTAGTAAAGATACTCATCACATTTACAATGGTAATAGGCATTTAAATGAATCAAATTTTAGTTATTCAGAACAATACTTATGATTCAGAAATCCCTTGGTGAGCTACTTGGGAGAGGGTGGAGAGCTACTGGTAACTCCTGAGCTGCAGGTTAGAGACCTGTCGTGACAAAAATTATATATCTGTTGAAGATAAATAATGAATCTATTTGCAAAGCCCGATGAGTTTTTGGAATATAGACCAAGGTTTATTCTTGTTACAGCAAATATGGAACAGGGCCTAAGCCTGTTCTGGCCAAAGCCCAACAGCCTCTCCCCACCAGCAGTATGTTCCTACTACATCTCCCACCGTCTCTCCCCAGGGCATTTGAGCTCTGAGTATTTATACAGAAATACAAGTTACATACATATCAAAGCAGAGTGACTTTGGTTTCAGAGGCTGGTGCTAAATTAACATGCAGTTGATGATAACAAAGGACTTCCTCAAGGCGGAGACAGTTGTGCCTGATGAACATTTGCACATGTTAATGACTGGTCCGAGTTTCAGGTAGAAATCACATTCATTTACACAAAGACAGATTGAAAGAAATCTTTCCACAATCTAAATTTCTATCACAGACCCCTGCTATGGAGAAACTCTGCCCTGAATCCCTTGTCCAAACTATAATGTCTGTCCAGCAGATCAAACTGTTGTCCCCCCATCAGTGTTTTAACAACTTTGTTATGTTGCGAGACTCACCTGCCAAATTACTGTGACAGTAAAAAAATAAAAATAAAAAAATAAAAAATCCTCCGCTCAGAGCTTTAGTTCATATTCAGATATTATTTCATGTTTATTTAAAAATAAGGTGTGGATACTCACTGTACCAGCCACAAAGTCCCTCCCCCATCCATCCAGCTCAGTCTTCTTACTCTGGCCCTCGGTCCCGATCAGGGTCACATAGATGTGGTCGTAGGTCCCTGAGTAGGGCTTGTCTCCAGTGCTCACTTCCACCTGGTACTTCGCCATGTTCCTCCACACTTCGACTCACCTTCACAACAACACACACACTTTGAAAGTCACACACTATACGGATTCTTCTCCTTGAACTACAAATGTTTACCTCTCTCTATATAACTTTATTTACAGACTCAGGGTCCAAAGTTTACACGCATCTACAGTGAGTTAACATTCAAACTGAACAGATGCCAAAATAAATCATTTTACTTATCAAAATATTTTTTAATTGAAAAATATAACAATTTATTTTATACCTTTTTTCTCAACTATCAAATTTCCCTTGTGTGGCAAAAATGTGTTATCAGTTACAGTGATTCAGTACAAAAGTGGTGAGGTCTTTGTTAATCTGTAAAACCTTTGTCAGTCACTGTATCGCCGTGAAACTTCACACTAAAAAGCCTCATCTACACCATCATTGCCATGTACTTAAACATACAAAATTTTAAGGTTTAAAAATATCAAATCCAACAAAATTTCCATAATGTAAAAAAAATAATAAAATCATTTTTAAAAAGAGGTTATTACATTTCAGGACAATTATTACAAAATGTGATAGATTTTTTATTTTTATTTATTTTTTTTTACTTTCTCTTTTAGTTTTGTGGGGTATTTGAACAGTAAACACATGCCTTTGTAATAGAAGATTATAGATAATAGATAATAATGATCTGATTTTGGTGGAAGCTTTGGAATGTGAAACTCAGCTTCTGCAGTTTGTTACATAACCAGTTTAACGCTGCAGAACAGCTAAAAGTGATGTTATCATAAATGCAGTAAAGGCAGACAAAAATTGGTACGTTTCTGCTTCTTAGTCAAATGTGGTTAACATTTACCACAACGCAGCCTGATTACAGAGGGCACCACAAACCTTTGCTTGACTCCATAAAGTGTGGTCCTCAAGAAAACAATAGTCAAAATGTACAGCGCTATAATCCGATCAGTGCTACTTTATGGATGCGAAACATGAAAGATCACCAAGAAAGAAGGAAAGAAGCAGGTTTTAAAACAAATGCCTAAAGAAGAAGCCTGAAAATCCTCTGGTAACAATTTGTAGACAATAATATCATTTAAACACTAAGTGGATTGAACAAAATCAGTGATGAGTGAGGAGAATGACTTTAGAGCAGCATTAGGGTTGGCACCCGAGGGAACACGAGCGAGACCCAAAACAACATGAAGAAGAACGGTGGAGGGGCAGCGAAAAACAACACACAGAGGGACTGGAAAAGAGAGTGTGATGGCCTTGTGCCACTCTTGGCAGGTTTTAATGCAAAAAGAGACTTGCTGCTGCTGTTTTTTCCTAGATTATGGAGATCTTATTTTTTATGAATGCCCCAGTCCAAGTACTCGGAGCCTTGGACACACCACTGTGAAATGTACAGGCCTGTACAGTCAGCACTGTTCACTCGTACACTAAGTCAGTGGTACATGTTTATTCATCCATCCTTTTTCTTCTGCTTATCCGGGGCAGGTCGCTGCAGTCTGAGCAGGAACTCCCAGACTTGCCTCATCCCAGACACTTCGTCCAGCTCCTCTGGGGAGACCTCAAGGCATTCCCAGGCCAGTCAAGACATGGTCAGTGTGTCCCAGGTCTTCCTGAGGAGCTCTTCCGGAGGCATTAGGAAGACACCTTCTACTATGCTTATGCTCCTCTCAAAGCGGAGGAGCAGCGGCTCTACTCTGAGCTCCTTTGTGTGACTGAGCTCTTCACTCTCTCTCTAAGAAAGCGCCCAGACACCCTGTGGAGGAAACTCATTTCGATCACTTGTTCCCACCCTCAGCTCCTTCTTCACCAGAACAATCCAATACAGAGACTGCACCACTGCAGACGCTGCACCGAACCACGTCAGTCTCAATCTTTTCCAGTCAAGAACCACGGCCTCGGATTTAAAAGATCTGGTCATCATCCCCGACACTTCGCACTCGGCTGCAAACTGCCCCAGTGCAAGCTGCAGGTCCTGGGTCGATGGAGCCATCAGGTCCATGTTTATGTACAAGTGTATTCTCTGTGTGCAGGTAATCAGCAGAGCTGAGAGAGAGTCTGTCCATATCAAGTGTTTACACAGAAACCTGTCAAATTGCTTTTCAGTATTTTGCACCAACATCTTGGAATCATCCTGAAATCATCCTGGAATCATTTACAAAAGGACTGCAAACTAAAAGAACTAAAAAGTCAGTGCTGAAAAGTTTTGAAATTATAACTCTGGATTGTCCCTACATGTTTTCAGGTTTTATTTTTATTTTTGTGATTGTCTAAATGTTTGGAGTTTGATCTGAGCTGCAGTCTTGGCCAGAACTCCCTGAAAGAGAAATGATCTCAATGGGTCTTCCTGGTTAAATAAATTTAGATGAATTTACATTTTTTCTGAATATTTAAACATTAATTTTAGGTGAATAAAACTGATGTGACAGTATGATGTGTGCAGTATTTAGATTTTATCAGGTGTAACTTAAAGCAGACCCATCGTGCATTATGAGCTTTGAAACATGATATAGTTGTTTCCCTCACCATTTACTGGTCCGCAGATGTAGTTGGAATGATCTGTGCATCTTTGAGCAATCTTTAAATGCTTATTTTTAAGACACCATGTAGCAAACTCTGGTTTCCACTGTCACCGATACAAACCCACTGCTTGATTGGAGGTGCTGACTCTTTGTTGTGATGACATTTATGACACTGTCAGCTCCCACAGTGTTCTAACGTGGAAGTCTGCTGTCTTGTTTCTTTTATTAAGTCAGTTTAGATGAAAGTTGCACTTTAAAATTTCCAAAATCAAACATAATTATCCACAAGTGTCATAGATTATTACTATATCGCAGAAACAAGCACAATATGTCTTCTTTATAAAGCCAAACAAGGAATATATCAGTGTAAGGAGTAGTGTGGTCAGTGTAGTCACAGTTACCTTTGTGTGGAACAGAGGAAGGAGCGAGCAGGACTTACCTGTTGACTCCTGAAGCTGCAGCAGGTCGACTGAATTCCTGCTAAGGCGTTTGTACTGTGCAAGGACCTGCTCCTCCTGCCCCCTGCACCTCCCCACCCCCCCCATAAAACCTGTCTGTGCACTGGAGGTCATTTAACAAGACTACAGCACATGCACATCCGTAAAATACTTTCAATACTAGCCTTGTACTATAACTTCATCATCACGTGTCTATACAATATACTTTGGACACCGTGTATATCTGTTTGTTTGTTTTTAACGGTGTGTTCATGTGAAAGACTAGTTTAGCGTAACGGCATGAAGACTGGCAGTGAAAGAAGGCATGAAAGAAGGAGGTGGGGGGTTAGAGAAAGGCCTGAGGCAAATCTGTGATGCTTTAGTGGTAAAACAACAATGCACAACTTCACTGTGCAACGTTTCAGGTGGAGAGTCCGCTACCTGCTTGTCTCCATGGAGATGTTATTGCTTTGCCTGGAATGTTCCATAGTATGACTTAGTTTCTACTGCTCAAAAATACATTAGTTCCTTCAGTGAACGGGGTGACGCTCCACAGATCTCAACTGTAATGTAGCGTAGTGCTGTAACCTGCTTGTCTCCCTCGCGACACAGGTTTTGTAAGTAACACAGCGTATCATTTACCTTTGTTAAAACCTCTCTTGACATTTTTTGTTTTATATTATTATAGTTATATTTATTTTTTGTTGTTGACCATTAACTTCCGCTTTTACATTTAGCGCTATTATTTTGAAGGGGCTATTTCTGGTTAGCACAAAAAACTGTTAATACATGCATCCTTAATTTCGGACTTCCGCTCATTGTGCAGTGCATACTGGGAAGGATTTTCCAAAAAAGTGAGCATCAAACTGCCATGTTTGTTTTCCCAGTGGGATGCGTCTATTGACAAAGCCAGTGGTTTCTAGTCTTTTGAACCATATCGCTTTTGTTTCTGGTTCTGATATTGTCATATTTTAATTATGGGATTCAGACATCGTAATTGTGTGGTTGTCGGATCTGAACTCCATAAATACAAAAGCGAATCAGATGTGTGTGACTGCAAACCTCTGTTCAAACAGTTTCCCTTCCCAACAGAATTGAAAAATAATAAAAGGTGAAGGCGATGGGCAGTATTGATCCACAGGAAGGACGAAAAAGGAAACCTTTGACTGCCTAAGAAATCATCCCGAGTTTGCAGCGAACATTTTATATGTGGAGCAACAACAAAGCAAAATTCCGTTTGTTAAGTGAGAGGTGCAGAAGACAAACAGGCTGAGCTGCACTTTCTTGTTCTTGTGGTTTTACAGCAACATCACGTCTTGGTCTCTTTGCAGTGGAAGGTGTTTCTTGGTGAACAGCTGGTGCCTTTCGCTTTGGCGTTGACTTTTTAAATTCGTAACCAAGGCTGAGTGAGGGATCAGGATTTTGCTTTGTTGTCGCTCCACATACAAAATGTTCGCTGCAAACTCGGAGTGATTTCTTAGGCAGCCAAAGGTTTCCTTTTTCATCCTTCCTGTGGATTAATCCTGCCCATCGCCTTCACCTTTCACTATTTTTCAATTCCTTTGGGAAGAGAAACAGTTTGAACAGAGGTTTGAGTCACACACATCTGATTCACTTTTGCAGTTATGGAGTTCACAAACGTCCAAAGCCCATTTCTCGAGCCGTTTTCCACTGTTAGGATCCAACAACCGCACAATTACGATGTCCAAATCCCAAAACTAAATATGATGATATCACAACCGGAAACAAAAGTGATATGGTTCAAAAGACTTGAAAAGATCGACTTTGACAATGGACACATCCCACTGGGAAAACAAACATGGCGGTTTGATGCTCACTCTTTCGGAGGACCTTCCCAGTATGCATTGCGCAATGACTGGAAGTCCAAAATCCGGGATGTATGTATTAGCTTAACATCGAGAACGGCAAAAGACATTATACGGAGCAATTTTTTTTTTTCATATATTTTCTATTCCTTTGTTTAGTTACCCCTCTGAAGTGGCACAAAGATGTTATGTTGATTTAAATATGTGTTTTGGGAAACTTTAAGTCTCTAGCTGTTATCTT